TGGGTAAGTAGAAAGTCCTGCCTTCATCCTCCAAAAACCAATTTACAATTAGAGGTTGGGTAGCTGTAGTGGGTTGGTGGTCCTCAAAAATATATGTCCATGCCCTAATCCCTGGGATCTGTAAATATGATGTTATTTGGCAAAGGGTCTTTGTAGATGTAATTAAATTTAGGATCTAAAGATGAGGTCCTATTGGAGGGCCCTAAATTAAATGGCAAGAATTCTTGTAAGATACACACAAAAGAGAGACAAAGGGAGGAGAGGAGAAGGCCACGTGAAGATGGAGAGAGAGAAATTTTACAGCCACAAGCCAAGGGCTTAGAACGACCAAAAGCTGGCAGAAGCAAAGAATGAATCTTATGCAACCTTCAGTGAGTGCACGGCCCTGTTGACACCTTCATTTTAGTGTTCTTGGTTGCAGAACTGCAAAAGAGAACAAATTTCTAATTTTAAGCCACAAAGTCGGTAGTAATTTTTTACAGCAGCCCAAGTACAGTAATATAAGGAACCATGGCTTGGTAACAATCTACGTTAAAAATGTCTAGGCAAACAGCATAATGTGACTGATAAAGAAAGCAAATGCAGGGCTGGGCCTAGTGGCTCACATCTGTAATCCCACACTTTGGGAGGCCGAGGTGGGAGTCCGGGAGTTTCAGACCAGCATGGCCAACATGGTGAAACCCAGTCTATACTAAAAATAAAAATTAGCTGGGTGTGGTGGCACATGTCTGTAATCCCAGCTACTCGGGAGGCTGAGGCAGGAGGACTGCTTGAGCCCCAGAGGTGGAGGTTGCAGTGAGCCAAGATTGCACCACTGTACCACTGCAGCCTAGGTGACAGAGCAAGACCCTGTCTCAAAACAACAACAACAACAACAACAAAAAGAAAGCAAATGCAGTCTTTGGCTGCCACAACAGAAACAGAGTTAATAGATTGAGGAAGCTTATCATTCTGCCACATAGCTGCAATATTGTACTCTGCTCTAAGTGCTACCTGTTAAGAGAGACATTGATGAATGCAAGCCTAGCCAGAGACAGGTGACTGGGACCATGTTGGTTCTGGAAAGCTTGCCATACAAACAATGAGTTGGTAGCACTGGAGATGGAGATCTTGGAATAGAAACCAATGAACATGAGGGTAATCTTGGAATATGTGAAAAGCTGTCTTGTCAAAGAGGAAGTAATCTTGTTTTGTGTTGCTTCAGGAGGCAAAATTGGGCTTAGCCAGTGGAAAGTAAAACAGAAGAAAAAACTGATGGCTGATTATAGAAATTCAGAACATTGCAAGTATTTGAAAAGGGGAAAAGTACTGTTTCCTAATTTCAGGGACACAACATCTGGTCCTGCCTCTGTAGTTAATTGGTTATGTGACTCTGGACATAGCATCGCCCCTTCTTTGGACCTCAGTTTTCTTCCATGTAAAATTAGAGGGTTAAGTTGGATGCTTTAGGAAAGCACTGTTTTTTTACTTTTGGTTGTTTCCTATTTTACGGTTTAATAAAACTGTTAAGATGTTTTACAATTTCTGAGTGTCTAGCATATGCTAAAGCTAAAATCTGTGCTAGGTGTTTTGTTTTTTGAGATGGAGTTTTGCTCTTGTCGTCCAGTCTAGAGTGCAGTGGCTCAATCTCAGCGCACTACAACCTCCACCTCCTGGGTTCAAGCAATTCTCCTGCCTCAGCCTCCTGAGTAGCTGGGATTACAGGTGCCCGCCACCACGCTCAGCTGATTTTTGTGTATTTAGTAGAGATGGCATTTCACCGTGTTGGCCAGGCTGGTTTCAAACTCAGTTGATCTGCCTGTCTCAGCCTCCCAAAGTGCTGGGATTACAGGCATAAGCCACTGCGCCTGGCCTGTGCTGTTTCAACATGCATGATCTAAGTCTTTCCACACTGCAGGTAACTGGTAAAGCATTATTTCTGAGTACGGGGAGCATGCTTCTAGAAGACACTGGCATTAGAACCAGTGTACCTGAGTAAGGAAGATCTACCCTTATCCAATGTGGGTGGGCATCATCCAATCTGCTCAGGGCTCAGAACAAAAAGACAGAGGAAAGACTTCACTTTATTTCTCCTGGAGTTGGAACACCCTTCATCTGCTGTTCTTGGACATCAGAACTCTAGGTTTTCTGGTCTTTGGACTCTAAGACTAGCACAAATGGCTCACCAGGTTTGTAGGCTTATGGCTTCAGACTGAGAGTTATACCATTGGCTTCCCTAGTTCTGAGGCCTTTGGATTTGGACTGCACCATGCCACTTGCTTTCCTTGTTCATGAGTGAAGGCAGAAGAATGAAGAGAAGGAAAGTCATTTCCTTTGCAATTAATATTGCAGCTTTTTATCCAGACCCTGAATTATTTTTGAATTTTGAGTATGATGTAGGCAAATTTCATGTATCTATGAAATGATATGCTAACTCCTTTATTTAGATCTTTTTGAAATACTAAGTGGCTTTATTACTAATTAAGAAGATTCAATTATACAAGGACCTTCTATTTCCATTAATCCAAGCATCCATTAAAATTTATCATCAGTTTTGCACTAAATATGTTACAGGAGTGACTTCAAATTTGTTTTACCACATTTACTTTCTTCATATGGGATATATAAATGACATTTATAAAGGTGCTGAAATCTAGCCCATTAAAGTTTCACCTCACAGAGTATTAAATCCGAATCTGACTCCTTAAATCCTTGATGTGCTAGTTCTCAGCCTCTTTACCCTCAGATACATTCCTTGCACTTCGTTGCTCTATTTTGTATTGTTTCTCAGGCCCCCATGTTAGCGGCGTCCAAACAATGGAAAGCAGACTGAAGGCTGGGGGACAGAAGCCAGGGCATTTCTACCTCAGGCTGCATCTCCAATAGTGGCTATGGCTCTGCTGTGGCGCCAGCCACTCCAGATAGGCCCACAATGACTCCGACTTCTGCCAAATGACCGGGCCATAGGCTCCAGAAGTCCATTTGCTCCTATTGCCCCCACAACCTAAGGATGGTTCTGGCCTCTGCCTCTTTCTAATCTCTGGGCCGCTTCACAGAATCCCCAATTGGCTGTTCAGCTATACTACCTGTGTAATCAATTCCTTGTATTAATTTCATTATTAAAGTTAAAGAAGTGTTCTTGTATTCTCACTCCAAGGGTGGCAAGCAGCGGTAGGAAACTCGCCTTGGAAAATACCTGAATAAGTATTGGTGCTGAGGTCCAGTTCAGCAGCATCGGACTAGATGAACACGGGAAAAGGAAAACGTAGGCCTGGGCCATTCTCAGGCCACTCACTTCAACCCTAAGAGCAATGACACGACTCCTTTCCATGGTTCTATCTATGGTTGTATCTGACTGCATCTGATGGACCCACACAAAAATGACTGCAATAACGCTTGCCTTTTGATCATTCCAGAATCTAACAGGGAATGCTTTAAGAGTCCTAGACAAACTGCAAAGTGTAGTATAGCAGGAAACACATGGGTCATACCTGAGTTCAGTCCTGAGAGATCAGCATGATAATTAACTTATCTGAACCTCAGTTAATCTGTTAAGTATCTGGAGTTCAATCATCTCTACGTAGGACGATTGTGAAATTAAAGAAAGTACATACAAAAGCATTCCATAAAGTGCTGTGCAGATGTTAGCTAATTAGTCTTCTATAACAGCTTAATTTAACGCTTTTTTCCATTAATACTTTTAAGCTTCATTGTTTCAGCTTTTTTAACTTAAAATTGTGAAATCACGTCAAAGTTGCAAAAATAGTGCAAAGAATTCTCATATACTCCCCACTTGGACTCTCCAAAATATATCATATGTAATTACCACATAATTTCAAATTATCAGAAAACATTGATATATTGCCTATATATTTTATAAACTAAATACTGTAATCAAACTTCACTAATTATCTCACTGACGTTCAATTTCTGGGCCAAGATCAGATGCCACAGTTAGTTTTCACAATACAGTTTTAGTTGTTTCCTTTAACTGGGAGAGTTACTCAGTCTTGCTCTTTCATGATCTTTGTAATTTTGAAGCCAGTTATTGTGCAGGATATCCCTCAGTTTTGGTTTGGTTGTTTTCTCAAGGTTAATACTAACATTTTTATGATTTGTTTATTCATGCCATAGGGGTGGTATAAGAATGGAAATATAGTGTCCTAATTAAGTTCACAGAGTCTAATCGGAATACCTGGGTTCAAACTCTGGCTCCACCAGACCGTGTAACCTTGAGTAGTTTTGGGACTCAGTGTCCTCATCTGTCAGATAAAGAAACATCAGTAACTATCTCTTAGGGTTACTGGAATTACTAAAGGAATGAATATGTATGAAGTGCTTAGAATAGTTCCTGCCACATATTAAATGCTATGTGAGTGTTAGCTAATGTGAGGAGTTGGGTTTTGGCAACTGATGAAGAGACCAAAGCAGCAACAGGTATTTTAGTTATGTATATCCTTTGCTCAACCCTGCCCAAACAGCCAAGGCCAAAGACTCAATGCCAGCAGGAATTCTGGCCTACCATGAGTGCACTGCTCCTCTCAGCCACAGGCCTGAGCACTTACTTCCAAGGCCCATGTGATGAGGACTTGCTTGATCCACGCTGCAACATTTCTTTAGCACAACAGGTCTATGCACTAGGAACTGAGCCCATGTCTCCTTGCCCATCAGTTGTTGCTAAAAGTGTGTCTAATTTTTTAAAAGTTACAAAATAATTAAGCCCATTTTTTCCCCCTGACAACCATTTTCAGAATGCAGGCCTTCAGGCTTCATTAGTATGCAGCCAGCACTTCGCCCATAGACACTTCACTGAATAACCATAGTGATAACGTCAGCCCTTAACCTCTGCCTGTGCTTCTTGCCGAAGGGGCCAAACCACTCAGATCCTCACAATACTCACTGTATCGGGCAACTGTGGGCAGACTAAGCAGTGAGGGTAAGAGGGAGCTCCCCATTAAGGCTGGATAGGGGAAGGGAAGGAAGCTTAAACTAATTTCAATAAGCTAAAAATCACGCAAGACATCTGTAAAAATGTGTAAATGACAACTATTCATTAAAAAATTAATACCCTTAATATCAAAATAACAACGCCTACATATGAATAGCAAGTCACATTTTACAAAGCAATTTTGATTCTTTTCCTTATTTTCCCTGTCACACACCGTCTTATAGGTGAGAAGAAAAGGGATTCAGAGAGAAATGTGGCAAAGCTGATACTTAAATTCAGGTTTCACTTCTGCATACAGCACATTTTCCACTTAATGAAAAAGAAGAAAATACACACTAAATAAAGATCAAAGACCAACAGGACTACAAAACTACCAAAATATAGAGACTGAAATGTAGAAATGCAATGAGACCAGTTTCAGTGGAGCAACTTTCATTTCTTGGCAGTCAAGGACTGGAGTTTTTCAAGATAAAGGACTTTCACTAGGTCTTGGGTGCAGGCTGAGCAATGTAAGAAGAGGTGTAGGGAAGTGGTGTGTACGTACACATCTTTGGAACAAGTTTCAAGCTACTGCAAAATCCCTTCATGTTTGATTACTTAAGAATCAAATGGGTTCGATGGGTTGAAGAAACAGACCACACAGACCATACATAGACTACCTTCAATGCATGGGTGGCATCAAGCACACTGCCAACACTTTCAATATGTACTTGCTGATTTGGCTGGACTTTTATATATACAGTAACAAGATACAGTCTCATTAAAAACTCCTAACATGTATCTTACCCTCCCCAATTAGGTATTGCCATAAAATACCAGCTGAAGAAGAAACTAGAAACTTCTCTCCCATCACCAAATTGCTTCTATATTAACAACAAACTGAGACCTTTCCAAAAAAGAGGCTGAAATATCAATCATATCATACCAAAGTTTATTGATTACATCAAACAAAAATTTCTGTAATGGAAAAGGCAAGTTGCAGTCATAAAAGATGGCATTCACATTCATTTTAGAAAGCAACAACACAGATGTAAAAAATTGCTTAAGTGAAAAATGTAATATTGCAGTCCCATTTTGCAAGCTGAAAAATGATTTTGTCAACACGCATAAAATCTGCACATTTATGTACTGCATGTTATTAAAAAATTCCATCACTAAATTATTATGAATTTTGCAAAGTTAGGCTTACATTTTTACTGTTGCTGGTGTATATGTAGTAGATATGGAATGAATGTTTTCAGTTTAGTAGGTAACACTGTCAAACAATGAACAACAGTTGTGAAAATTACAAAGACATTTTGATAGCTCAAAATTATTCAAATTATAGGTATATGATCCTATTATTACATTTTTTCTCCTTTCTCTATTACAAATAGGGTGATTACATTGTAGTGCTAGGAATACTGCACAGTTTGTTTCAGTTATTCAATCTGCTAACCCCACACTAGCCGTTTTTTTGCTCTTCAATAAAATATCTTTTAAAAAGGAAAGCCAGGTCCCTCTCAAGGATCTAGGCCATGATATCATATATCATTGCCATTCTGAATTTGAACTGCAGTGTTACAATGTAATGCATAGCTGACATATAACTCTAAATCCCCCTTACTTTTAGTCTTTCTCTCTGGCTGGAAGGAATTTTACATGTAACTAGTTATTTTTCTACTAGATTATCCTGTGAACCCTCTAATGGTACTGCATTAAACAAGCCTCTCTACTGTGGCTCTCGTCTGTATTCACAGTTCCCATAGATTTTATGTAAAAGAACAACAATAATAATACAGTAACAACAACCATAAGACAAGAGCACAAACACAAAATATCAAAAGCTTTCCTGGGTAGACTTTTTAACTCTTTGGAATAGGCAAAGAATATAGAGACTTTGTTTTCAGCAGCTTACCTCAAATACAAGCTACCAGAACACAGCGCACTTAGGTAAGTTGTGAATGACATGTAACAAAATGCTCAAAAATAATACTGATAAATGAGAACAAATGAAATAATGAAAAAGGGTCCATAATGATGAAATGGTTTCTGTTAACTGAAATTTTGTTCTTTTCTGGAATTTAGAAAGAAATCATATCTAAACATTAACACAAAATATATGTGGAAGAATCAAATGTGCCACATGGACTATATTAAATATAATACATCTTAACTCCAATACTTTTCCAAATCAAGGTACAATATAAACATTAATAGTACAAGCATGCCAGAAAGATCCCAAAAAAACTAGTAGTCAAATAAATATGGTCATTTATATCTTAAAAAACTGTGTGTTTAACTTTAACATTAAATGAAGACATTTCACATTTATGTTTCAAGTGAACTAATTAGAAGGCTACACCTTCCTTCTAGTTCAGCTAGTCAAGGACTTTACCAAGGTCAATCTCATGGTTTAGAGTTAGACCATTGCCCTGTTCAAGTTAACTAAAAGACAACATTCATTTTTCACAGTCATGGCTCTATAAGCTGAACCACCTTTTGGGATGGATCCTTTCCCCTTTCCAAATTGGCAAAGTTTAAGAAAAAGCACTGCATATATGCATAAATGCTGTCTCTTTCAAATAAAAACCGTCAACAGTTTAAAATAAGCGATTCTTCTTCCTTTTCACATCAAATTATAAAAGGCTGATGTTCAGAATTACCTTTATTTTTATATAACTATGGTTTAAACCACCTTACTGCAGATCCCAGTAAAATCGACACTGGAAAAATCTGTTTATTTCCTACTTTGAGGAGCTACTAAGTGACTGGAAATGTTTTATACTTTATTTTCAAGTCTACTAGCCTTACACCCATAAGTGGGGTATAATTCAGAAGAACAACAAAAAAGAAACTTTTTTACTATTCCCACAAAAATATGTATAAATTAACACTTTCCACATAAGTGTTCAAGGTATTTTTTGGCAAGAATATTCTACCAAGACATAAGTAGCATGTGGGTAAACAGAAGGGATTAACTATTCTGTCTGATGCATTGATACTATTTAGTCCTTCTGTATTTTCAAGTATTCCTTATGTACTTTTGAAAAAAAATAAGATGATCATTCAGGAGGAACAAGAAATGTGGTCCAAATAGTCTATTTCTTCTGTCAGGCAAAAAAAGCAGTATTAGCAAAATCTATTCATTCTCATTGCATAACTTCTACTTTATACTATTGTATTTAAATCCATTCACAAAATTCATGGGTTAAAAGAGCACCCATTTGATAGTTATATTATTCTGCCTAAAGCCAGAATTCTAAGTATTCTTGCTTTCAACTTTCATATAATTCTTAACTTACAGCTTTGGCCATAAAGGCTACTTACAATAATTATAAATGCTTAAGAGAATCATTTGGTATTTTAATGAACATTTATTGTGAACTCTAGACATGAGAGTGGTTTAGTGTGTTGCATATGGAGTATCCTGAGATGGTAACTTTTTGTAGTTGTTTCTTCATACTTTCTGTTTTAGCTGTAACCACTGTCAGTATGCTTGTAGGACAATAACATAGGCAATTCAAGATTCAGATTCTGAAAAATGTAAAATATAGAGATTTAAAAGGTTTATTTTAATAACAATGTGAAGCTGTCTGTTTAGCATTTTCAGAAGTAAATCAAGTAGTAAATTTTGTTAGGAGAGTAAAGCAACTGTCTTAACAAAGTGCCAAGTTTTATTCACATGCAGAGGAAAAAAAGAGTGACACTATAACCAGATTTTAATCCTTTCTTCATCAGCTGAATAGATTCAGGCTTGCTTTTTGCTTTTGGGTCGTTCCAGGGTTCTCCTAATACTTTCTACCTCTAGGATTATCTACCATAGCAGCAGTTTACCTTGTTATGATCCCTTCTCCTCTAGGCTGGGAGGTCCTTGTAAACAGGAACGTTTTATTTATCTTCTATCTCCAGCACCTAGTATACAGTTTCCACCACACAGCAGATGCTCAGGAAATGTTTAATGAACGATTACTGTTTTTTCTTGATGTGTTAATTGTGATAGAGGAAGTCTAAAGATATATTCAGCTTTGGAAGATTATTGTGAAAATATTCTTCTTTTTTACTTAAAGAAGCACGTTGCCCTCCTAAAATATGGAAGTTAATTTTCCTTTTGGTAGATCACGTATGTATGAGTCAACTGATTCTTCCGATTTTTCTTATGCTTCATCTTTTTGGAAGAGAAACCATGGGTATTTCCCTAACAAGTCTGTAGATTCTTCTCTGTACTCTAAACATCATCAAATGCTATTATTAGGATGGTGCACGACAGACAAACTGATCAACAAGTGTAAGTCAAGTATGATAAGAAATGGAAGTCGTATGTCAAAACAGGGAGCCTAACTGATTCTCCACCCTAAAACTCAGTCTTTTTGAACCTGAGTAGTGGGAAGGTCTTAAGTAGTATGCTATTTTCTTCCCATTCTGGGACATCTCCTTTGCCATGGTTGGACTAGAAGTTCATTAGAATACCTTCTATTTCTATTTATGTTCCACATTCTCTAGAACCACTAGTAGGTTTTCAGGTAGCTCTGCAGGGGGTCATGGTGACTCTAACCAAAATAAGGTTGCCCATTCATATTGAGAATGTAACTCACATTGGGGAGTTAGGTAGTTTTCTTACCAACCACGGAACATACTAGATGCCTAAACTAACTGCTAATTATTGTCCCTGGAGGAGAAATAATGCCACATGAAAATCTATTTCTGGAAGAAATAACTACATTAAAAATAAGACAATTGTTTTTAAAAAATACTTCCTCAGTTCTATGGTAGACATTGTAGGAGATAAGGCCCTGGAGAGGCCAAAAGCAATAGCAGTGTCTTCTATCCAGCCCAGTCCCCCAAACCACAGACCAAGCTAAAGAGAGCAATCCAGGAGGATACAAAATTAACCAGAAACAATATAGCTAAAATGCATCACACAGCTTAGAGCAAAGCAATCTGGGACAAAGGGGTCAAAGACTTTGAAGGCTACTTGTGAAGCAGATTCACTACTATGGGAAAACATATGCAGGTAAGTTGTTCAAAAATGGGTAAAAAGATGCTAACTGTGGCAAAATGAGCCTACCTCTAAAATAACAGTGCAGATGCAGACTGTGATGAACTCCAGGAGACAGGAGAACCAATGGATTCAATTCATTAGTTTAACATATTATTTGCCAGAAGGTGGTGGAGTTGACAGCTAATGAAAAAATATGGGCCTATGAGGTGGACTCACAATTATTAGCTTCAAAGTGAACTAACCCAGTTTTATTCATGATGATCATTAATTTTTATGCGTGCATGAAAGATGGCCCCGCTCTAAGCTGTGTAGAATTGTTTCCAAGCTGACAAGCTTGGAAGCCTCATTCATGAATTACTCTAAATTTCTATGGATGGATAAAAGACCTCCAGAGGTATGGGTTGTTAAAGGTCCCCACTGAAGGAAATACAGACTACACATAAGGAGTCATTCTGAGTTCAAGGGTCCCTGCCACAGTAAATCAATTCCTCCCAAATACTTTTTGGGGGTAAGTGAAACAATATATTATAAAGTGAATTTAATCATTTTTTGAAATATTAATTATAAAGCATTTTATATTATTAGGCAAGTATCCCCCTGAATGGCTACAAAAGATTTTACCTCTGAAAGTTGAAACATTTAGCTTGAATAAAACTTGACATTAGAAAAGTTATGATTAGACTGGTTCATTGCTATCTATTAGGGGACCAGACATTTACAAGGACGTAAGTATATACAGTACCTGCAAACACACAGACACAGCACATGAAGGTACAAACACATTTAGTTATTTTCACATAATTCCCAAGAGAACATGCAATGCTAAATTGACTTGATGTTATACAGATGCAATTTTGGAATATTTATTTTTAATTTTCCAAATGATCTTTATAAATCAAAGTTATATTTCCTGATCAATATTAACAAACATTTTCACAAGATGGTCCTGCCATGACTACTTTCCCCTTACAAATTAAATAAGTTATATCAACATTTGGCTCTAAAAAATATTTAACATTTTATTTCGACGGGCTTAGCAAATTAAAAATGCGTATTTCCCCATATTCCAAGTAATGCATCTTTATATTTTTGCAAAGAATACTGTAAAGTTCACCACACCAACAGCAGAGAAATTTAGAGAGTGATATTTTCATTTCTTTTTTTATAATGCTGTTAATCTGTTTTATTAAAGCCAGCCCATTTGTTTAACACTAGGTACCTGTTACAATACATTAGATTCATCTGAGAATGTTCGTAAAAGAAGAGGTCTGACTGAAGGTCTGGCGGATAATGAGTCAGATGCCCTTCTACAGCTCAGATTACTCTGTAATAGTGAGGCAAAGATACTTAACTCATTTGAAAATTGATTAACCTACCTGGCAATTAAAAGAAAAAAGGTAAAAGAAAAAAGAAACATTCATTTCCTATAGCCTACTATTCTGGCCAAAAGTACAAATGATTACACTATATAGTAAATGTATAATATTCAAATAAATACACTCAAAAGCCTATGAAAGTCTCCAACTCGAATTGTTTTTGTGGTAGAAGTAATAGACAACAGTAGTATGTGGCAAACAGGTTTCTGGAATGGCACTGGTAAGTAATATGGTAAGATGAATCAATATGGTTTGATTAGTAAGCCTTACCATCCTTTTGGTGAACACCTCTGAGAGTTGTGCTGGTGCTGTGAGTATATCAAACAAAGAGATATTTGTGCAAAACACTCTTGTCCTGGTGAACAGACTAGCTCTAACACGCCATGGCTACTGCATATCGTGGATCAATGAAGGCTATAGACCCATGGTTCAAGCTTTTAAAAATTACTTCCTCTTCAGTGTGACAATTTGGAAGGTGAACAAATGATTAAAAGAAAATGACCAAATACTCTTAAGTAACAATAGAAGATATAAAATGAGTCATGAGAAGTAATTTTTCATAAAGAATCAGAAAATGGTGTCAGGCAAATGAGAATGCAAGCAAGTTGGTACATTAAGAAAGGAAATCACCTTATTCACTCCAAGAGAAACTGTGATTGCTGGAAGTTTGAGAAAGCATGAAGATAGTAGATATTCCTGAGGAAGGGAGGCGTTTCGTTACCTTGTTCACAATTGCACAAAAGGTGGGAAATTGCAGTAGAAAAAAGAGAAATGCAGAAACCAAAAAAAAAAAAAAAAAGTAAATAATCTCTCAAATCTAAGACATTTAAAAAGAAACCTTGAGAATTCGAAGACGAAATGATATGTTAGTTTTGAAGATGTTATTTTCTGAAGTAAAAGCAGAGTCAGATAGGAATAATCTATTATTATGTGCCAACTATTATTTCTCTACTTATCAATTTGAAATTACTTTGTTAATGGGAAAATTGACTATTTTAAATAAAATAGCTTTAAAATCTACTTCTCATTAAAATAAGACTTATCTCTAATCATTAATTCACTATCCTACATTTGTTCAAAATCCATTGGTCAAAGAGCTATGTCCAGGGTCCATTGTCAATCACCAATCTATCTTGAAGTAATTATCTCCCTTATCCAACTGTACAGATACACTATGAAGGGACTGACTGCTCTTAAGCAGTTGCAGGATAAAAATAAAATCAAAAAGAACAATGGGAAAACATTTGGTGATACCACATTTCAGTCCCATTTGCCTCTGACCAATGCTTAACTTCCTTTCTTACAACCTAATTTGATTGGTTTCCCTGTTTTTCCTACAAAGTTCTCTTTACAAAGGTAGGCTAAATTTTACCTAGGTAAGGTATTATTTTTTTCCCCTTGAAACACCCAGAAAAGTAAAAACTGATACAGTTTAACTAGCAAACCTAAGGTTATTTTTTTTCCTTCTGATCCTGTGCCTGAAATTGTAAGGAAATTTAGAGTCAGTTTTGCCATTGCCCAAGCAAAACAGAAGATGAGTGGTCAACAATGTGGATGAGGTAAACAACTCTGCTAATAAAGATTATCCATATCATCTACTTAGTGACTTAAAATGGGCTTAGAAAAAGAAACCAGCTAAAGTAACATATATATCCACGAGATTCTAATAAACAATTAAACTTTTAAAGGTAAATAATTTATTCATGTTTTGACAACCGTTTTTGTTTGTATTTTACCTTAAATGAAGAAAGTCGGTAGAATGAAGAAAGTTGGTAGACATGTTGGTAGAATGCAAATTACCAATTTATAAAGCTAGAGAATTTTTAGATTCTGAGAAAAAGATTTTAATTGTTTCTATCTTCTATTTCATGGGCAAAAACTCTGCAACAAGATTAGCATATCAAGTTCCTCCACCCCCATGTTTAATGCACAAACCTATCTATTCAAGACTGTAACGGTAAGCATGTTTTAGTGTGCTCAAAAACTTGTGTCCAACAATCGGAGATAAAAGTATTTCTACAAAGCAGAAATTTTAGGAGTTAATAGATTAGGTGTTAAAACTACTTTATAAAGGAAATGAAAGTACAGAAAGCAGGAGAAAGCATTGAAAGAATAACTAAAGCAATAAAAAAATTGATATAGCTAGCAACTGGCAGTGGGGTCGGGTGGGGAAAACAGGAGACAATGAGCTAAAACAGAATGAAATTTCCACATTCCTTTGCAGTCATCTAGAGAGCTTTGACACCAGCTCAATTAGCAGTATGTCAAAGAGGCCAATGGATAAAGGCCCATCTCAATCGCCACGACATTAGGATTAAACTTTATTTTTGTCTAATCCAGTTATCAGGACTGTTGCCCTCTGAACCCATGGTTGTATATGACATTGTAAGAATCATAATAGTAATCATCATTATTATAATGATCAACTATATTCTCCAAAATTTCCAAAGTGCTTTTTCTGGAAATTTGGCTCAGATCATTGACATTGTTCCCTTCCCTGTCTGCCACTCTGAAAGAGCTCTCTACGTAACAAAATATTTCTTCCTGTTTGTACTGACATCCCATGCTAAGCATGGCCATGCTGCTGGGTGCATTCCCATTAAACTACAGTCTTCCTACATCTAGCAGGCTAAGTTAACAAAAAGGAGACATGAGAAAACTTCACACAGGATATGTGGAAAATTTCTCCACCAGAAATGTGAAGTGGTATTTGCTACTTGGCCAGAAAGTCCAGGCATATTTCATTGATTTACAGACAGCTTAGGGAGGACACAACTTTTTGAAATATAAAAATCCTATACTTTAGCTTTCCTTGAGGTGTTATCCTCCTGTTTCACTGTCCAGTGCTCAATGATAGTTTCATCATATACCATGAGCAGCACTGCTATGCAGCTTTGCCACTTGATAAAGCTAAAGAAAAGCTCTAGGATTCTTAATAATGAAACTTTGGAAAAAATTAAACTCATTGCTAAAAATACAGCTGATGGATACATGGCTTAACTACAACTGAGTTAAACAGCTGAGAGAACCTATTTTTGAAGATAGTGTAATTCTTTGTAATACTAGCATTATAACAGAACTCAGTTGCCGTGGAGGCTGCCATACTAGCGATTTTACTGGAAGCTTCAGGACGTAGTGACTTGCAATAGCTCAATTGTGTTAAGACAAGCCATATCATTGATTCTGCTATTCTGTTAACACCTGCTTACAGAAGGATTCCATATGAATACTCCTTATAACTTAACTAGAATGAGAGCTCCCTTGTGAGCTAGGGCCACATCTGATTCATCCCTGAATTAACAACACTTAGTATACTAGCTAACTCATGCAAGTTATGCTGAATTGAACAGAATTGTTATAATTGTTAAATATAAATAGGTTAGCTTCTTTCTTAAATGCTATAAAGACATTTTCACTACATACTGCTAAGTCCTCTTCTAAAAGCAGTCGCCAAGACCCATAAAAGAATAGCACTGGCAGCTGACCTGCCGCATTTCTGGCTATGTATAAAGTGTCCATGATGCTTATTGGTTGAAGTCAGGGATATCTTCTATTCTAGGTAGAGACATACACTTTACCCCATTAGGGGGATCTATCAGGATATGGGGCAGATCCAGTATCTTTTGCCTTTCTTTAAAATGAGGCCAATGTCTTAGCAAGGAATATTGAACAAAGTAGGAAATCACACAGAATGCCAGACTGTTGGTCACTGAGCATAAAGACTAAAATATTTGGGGGAAAGTAACATACTCTTTCTCCTTTATCTTAGAATTTGGCCTCTGCCTCTTTGATATAGCCAAACAGGGCCTTATGTAAACAGAATATCTGTGGCTGCCATGTTGCAATAGGCCTTTATGCATTCATATTGCACTATTTTGCTCTTGCACTTTTTTCACAAGAAAAAAAAAAAGAGGCAGCGCTGCTGAGTGCCCACAACATTTTGTCTCAACTGTCGAAATCCCGCAGAGTCTGAAAAACCATTTAGCCTTTCAGACACTGGATGTAAAGAGAGATGTTCATCAGTAGGTGGTTCAATAAATGTTTATTGGTTCAACAAGGGTAGGAATAAATGAATGAATGATTGCATGAATGAAAATGATTATGGAAATTTTCCTGGTTGTTCTAGCACATCAGCATGCCAAGCTATAGCACAGACACTAGAATTCCTCCTATGCTGGACATAACCCATAACAAATTTCCTGCTAAACCCCTGGCAACAGTCTATGCTGCTAAGTAAAAAAAGGATGCAGTCCCAGAACTCCATACTTTCAATAGAAGTTAAGATTCTGTATGGAAAGAAAATGTTCTAAGTCTTTATCTGTGACTGCTTGGTAGTATCCCACAATTTAGTGGTCTATGTAAGAGTCACCTCCAGCCAATGTCTAACTTTTTAAAGAGAGGGCCTAATAAGGAAGAAGGTAAGTTTGAAGGTTTTGTTTTCTGAGATTTTTCTATCATCTTGAGACCATGTAGCTGGGTGTGAGCCGTTACTTAACATGAGCTCCATTACCTCAAAAAAAAGACATTTAGGATCACTCCAAAGTGTACTCCCAAATAAGGAGGATGGAAGAGCAACTTGGAAATCCTTCACTGGAAAATTCTCTATTATAAAAAGCCCCAAATCATTTCTTATTGCAACATATTTTATTTGGTTTCATGCAAATTGCCACTTGAGACATTCTGGGTGGAGTCTGTTCTATCAACCTGTTATCCCTGTTCAACCGACATTAAGACATAATCAGGTATTTGAATGACACTTTTCCATCATAAAACCAAACCCCAGACTACGTGAAGCAGTCTAACTAAGCTAACATTATTGTGTCCAGTTCCAGCCCATAAGACATGCAGAAGCAGGGAGTTAAGGACAATTCTGGCCACCTAACTACACACTGACTGGCCTTGCATATGAAGAATCAATGTACCCTATGTTAATTCTCTTGTTTTGATTGGGGATGACACTGACTTGTAATGTGAAACTCTTCTTTTGCAATTCTAAGCACTGAAGGTTTTCCTACTCTAATCATTTCGGATCCCCATGTCTATGTAATATCAACCACTGGATTCTATCAATTCAATAGGCAAAACCAAAATCATTATGTAAGTTTTGTGGATAAACTGGGGTTGGCAAATTTATCAAATAGGTCAGGTAGTCATAGCTTAGAATATTACCTGGAAATACTGCCTTGGAGGTACTACGAGATCTAGTTGATGTCAATATGATAGAAACAGTTGTGTTTAACAAAATCAGCTACTGTTGGCAGGGATATGACATATTTAATTAGCCTGTTGGTCAAAATCTGCCAAAAGTTTTATTTTCCATGCTCATCTCCCTATTGAGCTTTAAAGGCTTTTTAAAAAAATGATTAAAAGGTATCATAATGAGGCAGCAAAGAAAATAACTTCTCATTCCCATATGAAATTTACAATTTAATAGGAAAACTAAAAACACACTCACAAAACTACCTTGAATTTTTATGAGTGTGTTCCAGAGTGTAAGGACGTAAAAACCACATCCAGGGAATTCTCTTTGGTTCAAATATACTGCTGGACAGACAGGGCTAGAAGCAACACAGAGATTAAGCAGCACTATAATTAAAGGAAGGGGAAAGGTTTGAAAGAAGCAAATTGGTTTGTCAACTGAAAAAAAATCTGCAAACAGCCCACAGGGAAATTTCTAAGTTTAAAGCGGAAATGTTGGTGTGGAAATTCCTAGTGTGAAAATTCTAGGCTATGAAATCATATTTTTCCTTTTAAAATTCCATATGGAGCATATGAGATACTCCATATGGATTGCTAAAGGTCACACAGAACACTATTAAGGAATCTACTTACCACCTGCATTGGATAACGAAGTTTTTACTATACTTTTTATGCAGAAGAGGAAATTAAGTGATGAACCTGTAAGGAGGGGTTTAACATGCTGTAACTAATGTAATTTTCTAAATCAGGTTTTTAGTTCATGGCAGATATTGAGGCCCCTTCCAAAAATCAGGTTATAAGATAAACTTAGTTCTTACCCGGGCACTTCTTCGTTTTACATTCTTTAATACTATCAGAAGAATCTCAGGGAAAAGGCTAATAAATATTAGAAGAATTATAGCCAACCATGTGGATACAGAAGACAGCATTTGAGCAAATACAAAATACATTCTCTGTTGCTTGAGAAAAGGCCTGCAGTGGAAAGAAAATACATGATGGAAAAACAAATCAAATCCTGTCATATGAAACAGAAGTTGAATTGAAACATCATTTGTATTTAAAAAGAAACTTCCTTACACATATTAATAATTTTCTCCAGAATATCCCAAAAGTAGTAAACAAATTTCATTTACCAAATGTTTGAAAAAAAAAATGATAATCAAAGGAGAAAAAAGATAATAAAATGCATTTGACTTGAAAACAATCAGGCAATCAACTCTAAAGCTGTCAACTGGTGACTATTTACGTGCATTAGAAAATGCTGGTATTTCAAAAGCATTCAAGAGAAATGATGGTTCATTTTTATCCTGACAAGCATTTTATTTCCTCAGCTGTTTTATTAAGAAGGAGATGGGTTTGTGTTCTGTATTCAGAAATTTAAGACATTTTTATAACTCTCCCTCAATAAAAACACTATGTAAATATAAAAAGGACAGTAAAAGTTTATCCTCTCTCTCATATGGAAGGAATCTACCATTGTCATCTACAAATATATATTAACAGTATGTGCCAAATAGGTTGATACATACTAGAATATTGCTAATTGGACATTAAGCCTTAGAATCCAGAAATCCAGGAGGAACTCTTATTCTGAAGTTAGATTTCATTCCAAGTCATCCACTTCATTGTTAAGTGGCCATTGAGAAGCACGGCCTGTTTCCCTTCCCTTTTGTCTGAGCTGAACCACAGAGAGCTGCACTAGGTGAAGCTATTGTTGTTCAAAGGTGAGGGGGAAGAAGTTGCTACTTAAGGACAGGATGCACAACAGATTGCCCTAGGATTAAGAACTCTAGATAGATAACTATGGTTCCTGTTTATAAGATGACACATCATGCTTGTTGAAGATAATTTGATTTGTCATTTAAAAATTAATGTCCATGAACCCTTATATAATATGATAAAACTGAATTTGTGGCTCTACTTATATGAAAACTAGATTGTGGAATAAAAGAACAGAGAGGTGAAAAATTTATGAGGCCTGGGCTACGCAAGCTTTCTGGGAAATGCCTGCCACACAGAAAAGCCTTCTGCAGGACTACCTCACTTGAATTCTGAAGATCACCTTGAATAATGTTCTAGGCAGTTAACTGAGTCATAACAGGGGCCCAGGTAACCTGGTAGCTAGTCACAGGTTGTTCCTTTGCATCATACCCTCTGACTAATGTCTCCACTATTTTCTCTTAACCTCCATGTCATCTGTGGAGTTTTGTCATAGGGCAGTAAAAAACAAACACTATTATTTCTGGATGTGGTTTGGGGCTGGGAAGTCATCATTCTCACTACCCAACCCCAAAGAGGGGTGTGACTCAATGCCTCAGGGTAGAACATGTCCAGATACATTAACTGTGACCACATTCAGCTGAAGTTTCACATTGTTTCTAGTCACATTTTACTGGTTGCTTTATAAGTTTATGTTCATGTAGTGGCTCAACTCAACTCTACTTAACAATAATACTTCAGGCAATAAAATAAAAAATAGGTTAACATTTCATTTGTAGTATCACTAATGAATACAGGTGTGACAATACCTTAATTATTTAATGGATTTATTTTCATCAATAAGGAATAAACTGTGGAAAGAGTTGGAAATGAGTTTGCTAGAAACATTTTATTCTTGTAGAAATTTTGCATAATTAGTTCAAATGCTGATTACATAGATTCATAGACAGAATTACAGTACTCTGGGCAGACATACAATTGTATATGGTATGTTCTTAATCAACATTGATTTATTTGTATATTATCCAAGAAAATAGAGACTTCTTTCAGCTTCACTGCTCTCAATTACCTAGAGGAACCAAATATATGCTGTAATTATACTTTAATTTAAAGCTGGTACTTCCATAAATGATTAGGTTTCTCATATTTTTATTTCTTAAGGTTTTTATTTTTGAAAAGCTTTTCAAAATAGTAAGTTTCTTCTAATTAAGACTCAAGGGACATAAACATAGGCCTCACATCTGTGTAATAAAACAGAATATTTTGTAAGATTTTGCTCAAAGCAATGAAAATATGTACTCCTGAAATCTTATCCTGTGGCTTGCTCTGGCCATGCTCTCTACTGCTGGCATCCTTGTCTAAAGTCTTAGGCAGCCATGACTAAAAACGAAAAACTCTTAACATTTAAAAACAAATATAGGTTTTTGGGAGTAAAGAAAGGAGATGCAAATATATAATTTCCCCAATCACAGCTTGTGTGTCCCTCAATGGACTCTACTCTTCTGGAGTACAGTCTAGTCATCTCTCTATCCCATAGAGTCCCAAGCACAAAACTGATTCTGAACAAACATCTATTGAACCAAGATGAAATAAATGAACTTTAAGGACAAGCTGCAGAATCTGCCTTTCTACATCTTCCCACCCCAAACCAAAACAGTGAGATGGTGATTTCAAAATACAACCCTCTAGATATACAATCATGTCGTCTGCAAATAGAGACAATTTGACTTCCTCCTATTTGAATACCCTTTATTTCTTTTTCTTGCCTGATTGCTCTGGCTAGAACTTCCAGTACTATATTGAATAGGAGTGGTGAAAGCGGGCATCCTTGTCTAGTGTCAGATTTCAAAGGGAATGCTTCCAGTTTTTGCCCATTCAGTATGATATTGGCTATTGGTGTGTCGTAAATAGCTTTTATTATTTTGAGATACGTTCCGTCGATACCTAGTTTACTGAGGACTTTTAGCATAAAGGGCTGTTGAATTTTGTCAAAGGCCTTCTCTGCATCAATTGAGATAATCATGTGGTTTTTGTCTTTGGTTCTGTTTATGTGGTGATTTATGTTTACAGACGTGCGTATGTTGAACCAGCCTTGCATCCCCGGGATGAAGCCTACTTGATCATGGTGGATAAGCTTTTTGATGTGCTGTTGCAATCGGCTTGCCAGTATTTTATTGAAGATTTTTGCATCTATGTTCATCATCGATATTGGCCTGAAGTTTTCTTTTCTTGTTGAGTCTCTGTCGGGTTTTGGTATCAGGATGCTGTTGGTCTCATAAAATGATTTGGGAAGGATTCCCTCTTTTTAGATTATTTGGAATAGTTTCAGAAGGAATGAAACCAGCTCCTCTTTGTATGTCTGGTAGAATTTGGCTGTGAACCCATCTAGACCTGGGCTTTTTTTGGGTGGTAGGCTCTTAATAGCTGCCCATCGTCTCAGCCCAAAATCTCCTGAAACTGATAAGCAACTTCAGCAGAGTCTCATGATACAAAATCAATGTGCAAAAATCACAAGCATTCCTATATACCAATAACAGACTTAAAGAGAGCCAAATCAAGAACGAACTGCCATTCACAGTTGCTACAAAGAGAATAAAATACCTAGGAATACAACTAACAAGGAACATAAAGGACCTCTTCAAGGAGAACTACAAGCCACTGCTCAACGAAATAAGAGAGGACACAAACAGATGGAGAAACATTCCATGTTCATGGTTAGGAAGAATCAATATCGTGAATATAGCCATACTGCCCAAAGTAATTAACAGATTCAACGCTATTCCCATCAAGCTACCAATGACCTTCTTCACAGAACTGGAAAAAACCACCTTAAACTTCATATGGAACCAAAAGAAAGCCCGCAGAGCCAAGTCAATTCTAAGCAAAAAGAACAAAGCAGGAGGCATCACACTACCGGACTTCTAACTATACTACAAGGCTACAGTAATTAAAACAGCATGGTACTGGTACCAAAACGGAGATATAGACCAATGGAACAGAACAGAGGTCTCGGAGGCAACACAACATATATACAACCATCCGATCTTTGACACACCTGAAAAAAACAAGCAATAGGGAAAGGATTCCCTGTTTAACAAATGTTGTTGGGAAAACTGGCTAGCCATGTGCAGAAAGCAGAAACTGGACCCCTTCCTGACACCTTACACTAAAATTAACTCCAGATGGATTAAAGACTTAAACATAAGACCTAACACCATAAAAACCCTAGAAGAAAATCTAGGCAAAACCATTCAGGACATAGGCGTAGGCAAAGACTTCATGACCAAAACACCAAAAGCATTGGCAACAAAAGCCAAAATAGACAAATGGGACCTAATCAAACTCCACAGCTTCTGCATGGCAAAAGAAACAGTCATTAGAGTGAATCGGCAACCAACAGAATGGGAAAAATTTTTTGCAGTTTACCCATCTGACAAAGGGCTGATATCCAGAATTTACAAAGAACTAAAACAGATCTACAAGAAAAAAAGAAACAAGCTCATTCAAAAGTGGGCGAAGGATATGAACAGACACTTTACAAAAGAAGACATACATGAGGCCAACAAACATATGAAAAAATGCTCATCATCACTGGTCATTAGAGAAATGCAAATCAAAACTACACTGAGATACCATCTCACGCCAGTTAGAATGGCGATCATTAAAAAATCTGGAGACAACAGATGCTGGAGAGGATGTGGAGAAACAGGAACACTTTTACACTGTTGGTGAGAGTGTAAATTAGTTCAACCATTGTGGAAGACAGTGTGGCAATTCCTTAAGGACCTAGAAATAGAAATTCCATTTGACCCACCAATCCCATTACTGGGTATATATCCAAAGGATTATAAATCATTCTACTATAAGGACACATGCACACGAATGTTCATTGCAGCAATGTTTACAATAGCAAAGACCTGGAACCAACCCAAATGCCCATCGATGATAGACTGGACAGGGAAAATGTGGTACATATACACCATGGAATATTATGCAGCCATCAAAAATGATTAGTTCGTGTCCTTTGCAGGGACATGGATGAACCTGGAAACCATCATTCTCAGCAAACTGACACAAGAGCAGAAAATCAAACACTGCATGTTCTCACTCATAGGCGGGTGTTGAACAATGAGAACACATGGACACAGGGAGGGCAGCACTACACACTGGGGTCTGTTGGGGGGAAATGGGGGAGGGACAGGGGGGTGGGGAGGTGGGGAGAGATAGCATGGGGAGAAATGCCAGATATAGGTGAAGGGGAGGAAGGCAGCAAATCACACTGCCATGTGTGTACCTATGCAACAATCTTGCATGTTCTTCACATGTACCCCAAAACCTAAAATGCAATTTAAAAAAAAAGTAAAAAAACAAACAAACAAACAAAAAACAACAAAATACAACCCTCTGAGTATTAAGTAGTATATATCCTATACCTTGAGCATACCTGTAGTAACATGAATGACAGTTATATACTATAAAGAGGAAACAGGGTCCAAATGGACAATAATGTATCTGTTGGCAAATATATCAGGTAAAAACTTCACAGGATGAGTATTTCCTCTGAAAATCATGAGAGGTATGCTAAAAACTAGTTTCACTGGAGAGATGTTTACACACCTTCAACTAGAAAGAGTTGGACAGGGGTTACCAAAGGGAGGTCTTCTGAGTGATTCGTGCAGTGTATATACTGTTATTCAAAATCTTACCTGAAATCAGTAGCATTACCAGCTAACAAGTAGCCTTCAGTCCATTAATATTAAAGATCTGCCATCTTATATAATCAAAACTTGAAAAGTATAATGAATGCTTATATATATAGTGTACATTGCTCACACATGTACAACTACTTACCAAATAATTCCTCCCCAGAAGAATGAGAAAAATACATAGAAGGCTAAAGAACCCCAAATCACAAAGTGATTTATCCATGTCCAGAATCGGGTATCCAAGGCAAGCTGAAAAGATACAAAAGATTTCATGATGGTTACAAATTGCACCAGGCAATATGCCACAGTATCTGAAAACTAGTACACAATGATACCTATGGGAGGATCTAATTTGGGCCAGGGATCCAGAGGAGAGTGGAACTAAACAGAATCCATGTTTTTCAAAAAACAAGTGTGAGAAAGTTGAGCTCTGCCCTAAGGCTTCTAAACTCTGGAGTACAGGCTGGAGGTGTGATCAGGCTAAGTAGCTAGTAGGTATAAGACTGCAGATATCTCAGTACTGGGCAATGGATAAGGAATGAAGTAATGGTACTATCTAGGAGGCCCAAATTCCAAGTCCTTATGCAATGGAAGCCAGGAAGATGATGGCAAAAGGAGGCCTAGCTGGTGGAGGCAGATATGCTGAAAAGAAGTAGGAGACGGAACACGTACCTAGGAAGGGTAGACAAACTACAAAATTTTAAAAGGTGTTATGAAAGCTCAAACACAACAGACAAGAGTCACTAAATACAAAGGCTCTATACACCTAACATCATACAGCAATGAATCATGGGTTTGACTACGTAGTGTATCTTTCCAATTGCAAAACCTGTATCTATTCCATTAAATTAATAAAATGTTCAGTTAGATTTTAATTTCTTCACATTTCTGCCAGGAATAATCATGTTTTCAGATTGTGGCATCTGGGTTTTCAAATGTGATCTAAAAACAAAAGTATGGTCTACTGCACTTGCTTGAAACTTCTGGGTCACATGAGCTAATACCCAGAGTAGCTAATTTTCACAGAGGATATGGTGTCTTAGTTTTGTTACTTGCGATGACACCATGGACATCAGCTCTCTGTTATAGTTTCTCATTTATAAACAGGATGTTGATAACATTGTTAATGTAGCTCAGTCTTGAATTGCTACTCTTCTGCTTGCTAGGGAAAATACTAATATGAATCCAAAGATAATACTAATATTCGTCCAAAGAGAAGGGAGTGTAAGTCTTTGAGATACACTGGAAAAACACTGTGAAGGCCATTTGGAGGCCCTTAGGCTATACGCAAGGACAGGGGAAAAAAGGAGGAGGGAGGTGTCCATTTCAAATTGTGATACTGTGAGACATAAAAACTGAAAACTAGCACTTATTGTAATGAGCACCATCCTAAGGGTTTAGTATGTATTTGCTAATTGACTCCTCAAAAAACCCTAAGAAGGATAGGTGCTACTTTTATCTCAATTTTATAGAAGAGGAAACTGAGGCACAGAGAGGTTAAAGTCACTTGCCCAAGGACACATAGCTAGTAAGTGCCTATCCTGAGATGAACTGTAACATGTCCTTTTAAGGTCCTAAAATATTACTGAAATAGATGAATAAAGCAAACATATGTTAGCTTTATTCCATGAAATAAACCATGAAAAAAAAATTAAGAGGGAAAGTTGAGAGAGATCCTTTGACAATTATATTTCTGAATTCTGGTTCTAACCCCTGGGCATGCTGGAATTAATTTAAAGGTATTTACTCATGGACCCCATGTGAGGTGTTTATTATTGGAATGATAAAAATAATTTGATTATGCTTTCAACTATAAGAGACTCCCAAATCATGGACATCAAGGGTAGCAATCAGTGAGGTTTCACAGCATTATCACATGGCTGTATGTCAGTGCCAATGATTTTGCTAAAATTACCTTTCTTTTGTTTACCTGCATTACATTCTTAGGTACTTTATCACTAACATGGGTAAATTTTAGTGATGAATTCAATTTATACATTTTTTTATTTTTCTACATTTATTTTTAAATTTAAAAAATACAAATAGAGACAGAGTTTCACTATGTTGCCCAGGCTAGTCTTGAACTCCTGGCCTCAAGTGATCTGCCCACCTTGGTCTCCGAGAGTGCTGGGATTACAGGCATGAGCCACCACATCCCGCCATCAGTGATGAATACATTTTATAAAATGTTACTACTATCAAGCCCTTTTTCACATATATCTTGCTCATATATACCTATTTTAGGCCTGGGGTTCTTAAACAGATGTATAATTTTTAGAAGATTCGAGTACTTAACATAAAAACACAAACACACACATGCACGCACGCAAGCACACACACTCTCTCTCACCCACAACCTGTTTATACACCACTTAAAATAGCAGTAAATAAACAGATTTTCACCATAAGTATGATATTTGAATTTTTTTAAGTAAAACAAAATAAAGAAGATGACAATATACTGGAAAAAAATTAATCAAAAATAGTATACAAATACCTAAATCCCTAACATCATACACATTTTAGTAAGTATTAAGACAAAGACTTTAATAACAACCCATAACAAAAATAAAGATTAGGAGACAAAGAAATGGTATATTGGGATAAGACAAGAAAGTATTACAGAAACAGTGTTAAATATATGTGAATAAGTAAAAATCTAACCTTCAGAGTTACAGTGAATACCAAGACTGTAAAAACAATGGTTCCGAAAGTCCAGTTTCCGTATACCTGAAAAACATTTAATAATTACATGTACCATGTACATGCAAGTGTTATCTTAGTATTTTTTTATTAAAAAAAAGAGCCAAGTTTAATCTTGTGTATAACTGCCAAAGATTTTTGTACGAATTGTTTAAGGAAACAGCTAGTCAATAAGATCAGGACACAATGTCAGATTTTCCTGTGATCCTAAATTTTCACGAACAGATACACCCCACCTGTGGTTTGCAGGGTTTACTTCTATTACTCCAAGCAGCATTAAACAGGGAACTCACTGGTGTGACAAAGGGCAAAGAAAGCAAATACTCTACTAACAGCAATGTTCATCAAAACAACTCATTTGAATGATTCATGTCTCTAAAGAATTTGATATGGGATTTTCCTACAATGTAGAACTAAACCTCTCAAATGGGCAATAATTTGTAGACAAATGAATTTACATTTTTTTAAATGAGTCTTCTTTTATGGTTGTAAATACAAGAGCTGTCAGCATGTGCACATCAAAGAAAAGCAGATACCATGTATAAATCCAAATGATGGCAATGAATGGCACATATGCTTACCAAATGTTGTCAAGATCTGAATGCATAACATTAAAACAGAAAATGAGATGTAAAAGGTTTTTAAAAAATAAAAACAAAAATTAAGATTAATAGAAGCAAAAAAAGGATTCACTCAAATCATACAAGAGTGTTTTTTTTTCTTGCTAATAGTAATTCATATACTTACTGCAATTTTAGCAAACATTTAGAGGGATGGTGACATATATAGTAAAACCTTATTAATTTGGACTTTGTGAACTCAAAATGGGTAACGAATTAAACAGATGCTGAGTTGATGTTCTCAGGCACCACCTGGAAAGTCTGCTGAGCAAATGAATCATATCAATTATAGGAGAGTATCTGCTACTATGGGGCAAACTCCTTTTAAGCAGTAGCCAGCTATATAAAATCTGTCTGCCCATTAAAACCAAAATGAAAAGTGAATTTGCACAATCAGTTATAAACCTCAAGAGGCCAGAAAATCACCAAATCAAATCAATTCTTCTTACCGGTGGGCAAAGTTGACCTGAAAAACTGATATAATTTTCCCAAGGGATCACAGGATTTGGCAGGACACTCTCTTTGGCAAGTGCTACATGTGACTACTTTAAAGTAGATCTGTGTTTCCCCAACAAGTACTTTGTGATTAATAATTTTCATGGACTCATATTAAACTAATTTTTGTCCAAATTAAGAGAGGTTTTGATTGCAGTGCCTAATTTTAAAGTACCATTCAAATTTACTGAACCTATTTTTCTGTAACAGGACATAATGTACTCAGTAAATTCTTTTTGAACCTTAGCTTTGCTTCACACTATGATTATAAAGAATGAACAACCATAAATGAAGAATCTCAGAAATAGCAAAGGAGAACATAGTGAAGCAGTATGCAAGGTAGTGTTTTTGATTTCCTATTGTGTGGCTGCAGGAGGAAGGCCTCATCTGTCCCCCATCACTAATTTTCTCCTAGAGTATAGACAGGGCAAAATTACCCCAGTGCAGCTGCTGAATGAGATAGTCATGAGCTGGGAAGACACTGGCAGGACCAGAGCAGCCTTTCTGGAGAATACTGTGCTTCCATTGGGAAGAGAAGGAAGGAGAGAAGAGAATTCCCCTCTTCACCTATTGGGCAAACACTCCAAATATATGGCAGCTACCCACTTTAGCTCCAAGCATGGAAGGCCACCGTGAATAAGAACTGAGTGTGGCCAGGCTTTACTTTAAAACGGGAAAAACCTTTCTCATGTCAAAGAGCAGGAGTCTGAAGTCCCAAGAACTCTGTTAATCTAGTAAAAATTACAGCCAAGTTAAGGTTCCAGAAAGTTTGCAGATAAGCTCTCTAGCTAGCCATGCACACAGAAAGTGATTTCTTATTTCACTTCTATTGTTCTAAACAAGCTGTGAGAACTAACTACTGTATCTTCAGAAAAAGTTTGTAAAATGATTACCGCTAGAGTATGTATATGACAAATCCAGTGCCTGTGGGAAAAAGATAAGCCATACTTATAATACTAAAAGATGTAATGATAGATTCTTTTTACCTTTCCATTTTCTTCTAGGGATGCAGTCTGAAAAAGAAAGTAAGTCCCAAAGAAGAACACTGTCCCTTCAAAGGCAGCCAGAAATGTCCAATATAAGAAGGGGCTCAACTGTAGCATGGCATTGCCGGAAATTTTCCTATTGAGAAATGGGGGAAAAAAACATTAGTGAAACTTTTCATTTAAACATACACTGAAATGTCAAAATGTCAAAGGTGGGCATGGGGTTTGGCCCTGCTATAATGTAGGGGGCTACCCTTAATGGCCTGACAGATTTTTGGTAAAGGGTCAGACTGAGCCAAAGGCTGACCTTCATGCAGTCATCTCCTGACTCAGCCACTGGAGTAAACTCTCTAAACTCTTCTAAATTTCTGGCTGCTTACAACAATAACATCAATAATTTCCTTCGATTAATGGTACTTACATGCCAGGAATTGGGCTAAGAGTTTTACAGACATTAACTATTTTTATCCACATAAAAACTACAAGAGATAGGTATTATTATCACTCAGATTTACAAATAATAAGGAGCCTCAGAAAGGTTTAACACAATGGTTCCCAAACTTTGATGCACTTTGGAATCCCCTGAGGATTGTTAAAAACTACTAATGCCTGGCTCCCATCTTCATTCTGATTTAATTGGCATAAGGTGTAACATGGAGGTCAGGATATTTTTAAAGCCCTCCAGTTGATTTCAATGTGCAGTATAGTTTGGGAACCACTAGTGTAGTAGCAATGCCAAAGTTCACTTGGTTAGAGACAGAGCTAATATACAATCTTGGATTGACTTGCCCAGAGCATATGTTCTCAATCAAGCTACGAAGCTTTCCAAGAACAATTAAGATATTTCTTTTAATCAAGATTTATTCCTGGAAATTTAACCTTTTTTTAAGGTCTTATGGTGCCCTTTATATTTTTCCATCAAGTCAAATAACATGTTTGGAGTTTTATAATGATACTCTGATAAATGGCAGGTGGACAGATTAAGTTTAAATCTGTCAAAAACAGCACAAGTCAGACTGCTAAATACGGCTACCAATTCTAATGGAGCAGAGCTGCAGAAAAAGATGGGTCTGTGCATGTGTTTCTTTTGGATTCTATTTCAAATTGCTCTTAACATTTAATAAATGATATCTAATTACTCAAATAACATACTTGTTTGTAATACTACCAAGAATGTCATTGGGCTGTATCAAGTAAGAAACACCGTTGTAATGTAAACGCAACTGATCCTTGTTGAGTTGGTATTCAGTACTGTGGGGTTTCGTGAACACATGGCAATTATGCAACTTTTGCCTACTAGGATTTCCAGGTGCATGCAGCGATCTGAAATTCAGCGTATGCTGTCTGTCCTAGAAAAATGGCAGAAAGTGGTAGCTGCTTCCCAGAAACAAGCTCTCCCTACAACCAGTAAGTCATGTTTCCAAGACAACTAGGAAGCCAAAGGGAAGGCACCTCTGTAAAGATCCTTGCAGGCACTGCCCAACAACTGCCAGCCAATGTGGCTTTTGACAGTCACTAACCTGGGCTGAGGAAGAAAGGGCAGAAGCAGGAAGTGGTCCCTGTCTTTACAGGCCATCGACAGGAGTTACATCACATTCAGTGGGGGAAAAGAGCAGGAGAAGCATGATACGTTGAATTATAGGTCGGGCTTTCTAGCTGCACTCGAATGAAGAAACTGTCAAAAACTCAAGAATGGGGCAATGAACATGAAGGAGAGCATGAGAGAGAATCAAGATCTGGGGAGAGGTTGATGAGCAGCACAGGCCTGAGCACCTCCATATTATGGTAGGCAGCAGGTATACCAGAATCCTTTCGTTTGCCTTTTAACGCTGTAGAAGAAACAAATTACACCTGCTCCCTCTATAGAAAAACCAGTTTATTTTTTACATTTTTCTTAAAAATATGAAAACATCCAATTATGTTTTGTTTCACATCAAAGTGTTCGGAAATATCCAAGTTACTAAATCACCAAAGGTAAAATCTATAATACGCTACACAATGTCACTGCTAATATTAAGTGGCATGCTGTACAGAGAGCCATAGAGGAAGACCAGGGCTTCATGTTCACAAAGGAATAGTCAGAGTAATGAAGCAATCTAGAGTCTGGTGACAGGCCAAGAGCAATGTCTTGTCAAAGAAGGCATTCACTACTTATAAGCATGAGGTCAAAGAGGAAAGTGGCACTTTGGGCTGGGCAATAGGTATGCCATGGACTTTATTTTTGCCTCAGATGTGGCAAGTCTATGCAAAATTCAGTAAATCATGACCTACACCTAAAGCACAGTCACTAAAACTTTATGAAAACCCTTATGATATTTTGTACTCAACAGCTTTTTGCAGATTTTTGACATTCTTAATTTATACAAATGCTCAGCACAGCTCTAAAGGCTGGAGGAGGGTGTTAGAATAATAAGATTAATAGCTATCGTTGCCTGAAAACTTGTCAGGTGTTTTTTAGCTATTTTGTATATAGTGACTCATTTATTCCTCATAAAACCATTGTGATTAGGTGCTACTGTTGCCCATATATTACTGAAGATGAAACTGAGGCACACTGCAGTCAAGTAACCTGCATAAGGTCACATGGTTAAGTAGCAGAGGATTTCAGCCCAGGTGTTAGTTTGAGCTCTTGGTGGGACTGAATAGGAGGAATTCTGCCTACTACCCCTCAAATCCCACTTCACCAGAGCAACTGCACTGTTGGGCTTCACTTTAGAAGTTGTCTGGAAACAACTGTAGTTAAAACAATGTTTTAAAACCACTGGCCTGCTGGAAAAAGCACTGGAAAGAGGACTGAATTCTGATCTTCATTTTGCATCTGCTTGTATCCTGTGTCCTTAGGTAAGTCATTTCTGGGCCTTGGTTCTTCATTTTCAAAAAGAGAATAGCAGGAGCTGATGCTTATAAGATTTCTACCAAAGTTCTAACGATTCTCCTCTAGATCTAATTACGCATTTACAACAAATGCAGGGATCAGCAGAACGTGTAAACACAATGCAGAGATAATCAGCAAACTCTACACTGGGAGAAATTTGACAACATAAATAATCTGGTTTTGTCCACAAATAAATTGCGGGGTTAACTTACAGATTAAAAGAGGCTCAGAAAGTATATAAACCAATTGCAATGTGTGGACCTTCTTTGGATCCTGATTCAAATAAGCATGCTATGAAAAAAAGTGAGTCAACTGGAGAAATGTGAACACTGCCTGGCTATTTGATATTAAGGACTTGTTAAGTGATAGGGTATTACCATCTTTAAAAATCCTTATCTTTAAAAGATGCATAGTGAAATAACTTTTATATAATGTTTGAGATTTGCTTCAAAATAAGCCTTTGATAGAGCAGATAGGGTTATTAGTCGAACAGGAACGCCAAGGAATTGAGAGTTGTTGAAGCTGAGTGGTTAAGACAAACTGAGTGGTTCCACAACTATTTACATTCAGTCATTATATAAATAGCATTCTCTCTACTTTTATGTATGTCTAAAATTTTCCTTAATGAAGACCTTTAAAATGATAAATTTTATAACTCTGTATAATTCTAACAATTGCTAAATGTAACTTTTATGAGTCATGCTGGTTTAAAAAAATCCCTTAAATTTGTGCATCTTCATTTCATACAAATAAATCATCCAAACCTCTCTATTGCCTTTGTTACCTACAATTTAGCAATGCTTACAATCTGCTGTAAATTAACATCTTTATCCTCAGCTGTAGGCTATAATCTAAAAAACCAATTATATCATAAGTTAAGCAACTGGGGCTAGTGCTAAGTCCCCCGTCCACAGAGAAAAGCATCTATTTCAACTGACACGAAATGAATACAGTGGCTTATGAGTTCATTATTTTCTTCAACAAAACAGTTTTAGAATGGGGTTAACAAAGGTGGGGTATGGGGTGGCTAATGCTGTAGGTGCAGTTTACATGAGAAAGGGTAATATAACTTCATCATTCAATCTGCAACAAGTAGGAATCAATATTCTAAACTATGGAAGATCTTTGTGTGTGCTTTTTTTTATTTTGGAGTTAAAATATCATGTCTTCCCATGAGACACCAGAACATTATGACATCGTAGGTTTAAGTTTTAGAAATGAGTGACTCTGAACTAAATGTTTCACAGTTTCAAGTACAGAACCCACACCTAGGAAATATGTCATTTTCCTGTTGTCATTTTCAATAGCTAAAAATTCCAAACAGAACCACACAATCAAACCAAAAACCAAGTACATAGTTCTGTGTTCTTCTCACCTGCAGGTGAAATGAAAACCACAACTTTGAAAGTCTTAGGGGGTTTTAACTAAATATTTAACTTACATATACAATCGGGGATCTGAGGTCAGGGTGTCAACGTTGATGTGCTGTTCCAGTAGACTATAGGCTAGGATAGGCAGGGATGTGAAGCAGATATTATACATTGTAAGGTAAGCAGCATCATACAGTGGCTATAATAAAAAACAGAGGAAAGAAAGAAATTTCATATAACAATCATCTACAAGATGATATTTATGTATGTGGAAAACTTACTAGCTAAAATAAGAAAGTTTTCTGTCATGCTTTTGGTGGTGGCAAAGGAAACTGTAAATAAGATCACTGCCTAGTAACTACAAAAAAGAATCTAACATATTGTGATGTGTCACATTAATATACCTCCCCTTAAACAGAATCTAATTTAGAATGTTCACACGCTATAAGCTGCGTTTCTAATAGACGTTAATAACTTTTCAAAAGATTATTTAGTAGCTAAAACTAGTTATTCAGGAGTTACTTCAGCAAAGACCATTAAGTGAAGAATCCTTACAGAAACTAAATATAGGCAGCAGCCAGCCTGTGTCACCATTGTTTTGGTTAACATTTTACGTATTTTTGGTTAGCATTTTCAAGTCCAAATTGTGTATTTTCTAACATCCTCTTCCTGAGAAGCCCTATAGTTCCTCATGGAGTGTGTTATTCCTCCCTGACTGAGAAATAAACCTAATCTGATCAACTCCCAGTGCGGTCCTGGTGGTCTTTGACTGGAGAACTCGGAGAATCTTAAGCTCCTATAACAGAACCTGGTATACAAAAAGCATTCAATTAATACTAGATGAATAAATAAATGAGTACAGGTAGAAAGCTGTAACATTTCTAAAGTCCTGCTCTGATATTATATATCTTCCTTTATTGAAAAATTTACTCTATGAACCTTATTCTGACAAAAGTATTTACTTCAGTATTTATCTACACAGTGCTAAAGACTGTCATACAAACATTTTCTGTGGCCTGAATAAATAATTCCCCATACTTCTATGTGTTTTTCACATGTATAAATGTCCCTTGATTAATAAAATGCATTTAACTATGACACAAATTAACAAAGTAATGTATTTTCAATCAATGGCTATGAAAAATAATTACTATCATAATGGAGATTGACTCTAAAAGGCTAGGGATGACTTCAATAGTGCATTAGTTACTTCACTAATTGACTGCAGGACATTTACTGAGTGTCTACTAAATGACAAGTACTAGGGACAAAGATGACTTATTCCCTGTCCACCAAAGAGGTCAAATTATAGATGGAGAGGCAGAATGAGAGGTGCACAAGGAGCTGGGGAAGCCCAGAGGAGGGGACAACAACTCTGGCAGCAGGAGAGACAAAGCAAATGATAATGGATGCAACATTCTCCATGAAGTTGAAAGACACTTCCAACATACTTTCTATAAACAAAGATTTAAGCTCAGTAAAGATATTCCACTGAATTAAAAAGTACAAAAAAGGTGTTGCATTCCTTTTTATTTTCAAAAGAGAGGGCTAGTCCGTGGCATATAACAACACACTCTCTTTGAAAACTACTCATTTTCACTAATGAGTAAATTAAAAAAAAAATACAACTCGGATTGACTAGTGTGTAATTTAGCCTTAAATTTCATTAATACAAAAGAAGCAACAATCTACTTTTATTTCACTATGGTACTTTAAAATCACATGACAGATAATTGTAATTCTTAGGTACATAATTAGAATGTCCCCAAAACAAATGGGGTTTAGTTGATAATACTGTTTTTTATGAAACCTGTTACAATGTTTTCTTTTCATTAAAAAAAAAAAAAATCTATCCCAGTTTTGCTAAAGAAAGGAAAGCTTTTTTTGGTAAAGAATCTGAATCCTGGTCCATATCTACACTCTTCATAGTCCTCTTTGCAAGTTCCAGAGAATGCCTAATGTGCTTCTGGACTGAAAAAGGCTGACTACCCATAGGTACTCCAAAGATATTTGCAATAAAAGGTTGCTACATTTAGCACTAGCACAAGACCAAAATCAAAAATAAAGATTTTGCATATCACATTACCTCTTGAACTCTGCTAGTACACTTTTACCTTCCTTTTACCTGGTACATTTTCCTTTAAGATGTCCACGTAGTTCTTTCTCTTACTTCCTTCAGGTCTCTGCCCAAATGTCACCTCATCAGAGAGACCTTTCTAGATCTCTAAAACAGCAGCCCTCTCTCCCAGTCACACTCCATCACTTTATAATGCTTTCTTTTTTCCACCATAGCATATATCAGCAACCAATATAATGTATTTGATTGTTGTCTTTCACCCTATCACTACACACTGCAAGTTTCATGAGAGCAAGGAAGCTTGTTTTGATCATTGCTATAGCCTCACCATGTAACCTGGCACAAAGTAGGCAATCAAGAAATAGTTGAAAAAAAAAAAATGAATCTACCAGTTGAGGAACAGAGGAGCCAAACATCAACTCCTATGGAACCATAAGCAGTTAAGGTAATCTAGCAGACTGAAGACAATCCACGGTTTGAATCTCAGATGGCTTTATAAGAAATAAGTCATTTTTGCCCTAAAACTCGTGCTTGATAAACATGTTTTAAAAGAATAACAAAGCAACAGACTTCTTTCAAAATGAAAACTATATTTCCACCAGAACAAGCCAACTTACCTTTTGCACACTGCTACACATTAGTTAAGAGAATTTCAAATAGCTTTTTAATACTTAGATCCATCCATGAAAGTAAGGAATTAGCAACATTTTGCTCAATAGCAATTTGAATGTTCAAGAAAAACAGATTGATCAGAATTTACAAAACTCTCTAATACTATTAATTTTGAATACAAGAAGGTTGATGGCACTTCCAAAAACTGAAAGATGCTTAATTCATAATGTGAGCTGTTTATAACTGGCACTACTGGGCTAATGACATGGCACTGAAGTAAGGGACAGCATATCAAACAGTAAAGAGGCAAATTCAAGAGAAAGAGAACAGTCATTTCCATTGAGAAGAATGCATTCTCTTAAAAATACTACCAGAGACTTTAACACCCTACTGACAGTATGAGACACATCACTGAGGCCAAAAGTTAACAAAGATACTCAGGCCCTGAACTCAACATGTGACCAAATGGACCTAATAGATATCTACAGAACTCTCTATCCCTCCTCCAAACAACAGAATATACATTCTTCTTATTGCCACATGGCACATACCCTAAAATCAATCACACAATTGGACATAACAATCCACAGCAAATTCAAAAATACAAAAATCATACCAACCATACTCTCAAACCACAGTGTGATAAAAATTAATACTAAGAAAAATCACTCAAAACCATACAACAACATGAAAATTAAACAACCTGCTCCTGAATGATTTTTGGATAAATAATAAAATTAAGGTGAAAAACAAGAATTTCTTTAAAACTAATGAGAACAAAGATACAACATACCAGAATCTCTGGGACACAGCTAAGAAAGTGTTAAGAGGAAAATTTATAGCACTAAATACCCACATCAAAAAGGTAAAAAGAGGGCCAGGTGCGGTGGCTCAAGCCTGTAATCCCAGCACTTTGGGAGGCCAAGGCAGATTCTTTGAGGTCGGGAGTTCAAGACCAGACTGACCAACAAGGTGAAACCCTATCTCTACTAAAATATAAAAATTAGCCAGGTGTGGTGATGGGCCTCTGTAATCTCAGCTTCTCAGGAGGCTGAAGGAGGAAAATCTCTTAAAACCAGGAGGTGGAGAAGGCAGTGAGCCAAGATTGTACCACTGCACTCCAGCCTGGGTGGCAGAGTGAGACTCCCTCTCAAAGGACAAAAAAAGTTAGAAAGAGGTCAAATTGACCACCTAACATCACAACTAGAAGAACTAGAGAAACAAGAGCAAATCAACCCCAAAGCTAGAAGAAGACAAGAAATAACCAAAATCAGACCTGAATTGAAGGAAACTGGGATATAAAAAAACCGTACGAAAGATCCTGAAATCCAGGAGATGGTTATTTGAAAAAGTTTAATAATATATATAGACTACTAGCTAGACTAATAAAAAAGAAGATTCAAATAAACACAATCAGAAATGACAAAGCAGATGATGCCACTGGCACAAAAGAAATACAAAAAACCCCTCAGCGACTACTATGAGCATTTGTATGCACACAAACTAGAAAACCTACAAGAAATGGTTAAATCTCTGGTCGTATGCAACTTCCTAAGACTGAACTAGTCAGAAAACCAGGGATTTCCTGAATACTTGAAAAGACCAATAATGACTTCCAAAACTGAATCGTAATAAAAAGTCTCCCAACCAAAAAAAAAAAAAAAAAAAAGCCCAGGACCAGACGGAGTCATAGCCAAATTCTACCAGATGTATAAAGAAGAGCTGGTACCATTCCTACTGAAACTTTTCCAAAAAGTTGAGGAGGAAGGTTTTCTCCCTAAATCATTCTATGAGGCCAGCATCATTCTGATACGAAAACCTTGGCACAGACACAACAACAACAAAAAAAGAAAACTTTAGGCCAATATCCTTGATGAAGATAGATGCAAAAACATTCAACAAAATACTAGCAAACTGAATCCAGCAGCATATCACAAAGCTAATCCACCATGATCAAGCAGGCTTTATCACTAGAATGTAAGGTTGGTTCAATATATGCAAATCAATAAATGTGATTTATTACAGAAACAGAACTAAAAACAAAAACCACATGATCATCTCAATAGATGCAGAAAAAGTTTTCAGTAAAACTCATCATGTTAAAAACTCTCAACAAACTAGGTATTGAAGGAACATTCTTCAAAATAATAAGAGCCATCTAAGAAAAATCCATAACCAACATCACACTTAACAAGCAAAAGCTGGAAGCATTCCCTCAAAACCCAGAAGACAAGGATGCCCTCTCTCACCACTCCTATTTAACATAGTACTGGAAGTCCTAGCCAGAGCAATCAGGCAAGAGAAAGAAATAAAGGGCATCCAAATAGGAAAACAGGAAGTCAAACTATCTCTGTTTGCAGATAATATAATTCAATACATAGAAAACCTCATAGCCTTGGCCCAAAAGCTCCTTTACCTGGTAACTTCACCAAAGTTTCAGGGTATGAAATCAATGTACAACAATCAATAGCAATCATATACACCAACAATGTCCAAGCTGAGAGCCAAATCAGTAACATAATCCCATTCACAATAGCCACAAAAATAATTAAATGCCTAGGAGTACAGCTAACCAGTGAGGTGAAATATCTTTACGATGAGAACTACAAAACGCTGCTCATAGAAATCAGAGATGACACAAACAAATGGAAAATCATTCCATGCTCTTGGATAGGAAGAATCAATATTGTTAAAATGGTCATGCTGTCCAAAGCAATTTACAGATTAAATGCTATTCCTATCAAACTACTAATTACATTCTTCACATTTAGAAATAAATATTTTAATATTCATATGGCACCAAACAAAGGGCCCAAATAGCCAAGGCAATCCTAAGCAAAAGGAACAAAGCTGGAGACATTACCTGACTTCAAACTGTACTACAGGGCTACAATAACCAAAACAGCATGGTACTGGTACAAAAACAGACATACAGACCAATGGAACAGAAGAGAGAGCCCAGAAAAAAAGGCCACACATCTATGATCACCTCATCTTCAACACAATTGACAAAAAACAAGCAACGGGGAAAGGAATTCCTATTCAATAAATGGTGCTAGGATAACTCACTAGCCATAGGCAGAAGATTGAAACTGGACCCATTCCTTATGCCATATATAAAAATCAACTCAAGATGGATTAAAGACTTAAATGTAAAACCTAAAACTATAACCACCCTGGAAGACAACCTAGGATATACCGGTCTGGACATAGGACCTGGCAAAGATTTCATGGCAAAGATGATGAAAGCAATAGCAACAAAAACAAAAACTGACAAATGGTACCTAATTAAATAGTTTCTGCATACAAGAAGATGATTATTAACAGAGTAAACTGACCAGAGTAAAAAACCTACAAAATGAAAGAAAACATTTGCAAATGATGAACGTGACAAATGTCTAATATCTAGCATCTATAAATAACTTAAATAAATTTACAAGCAAAAATCAAACACCCCCATTGAAAAGTGGGCAAAGGACATGAACAGAAACTTTCCAAAAGAAGACATACACGCAGCCAGCTAGCGTATGAAAAAACGCTCAACATCACTAATCATTAGAGAAATGTAAATCAAAACAAAAATGAAATACCATCTCACACCAGTCAGAATGGCTGTTATTAAAAGGTCGAAAAATAACAGATGCTGGCAAGGTTGCAGAGAAAAGGGGAACACTTATACACTGTTGGTGGGAATGTAAATTAGTTTAGCCATTGTGGAGAGCAGTGTGGTGATTCCTCAAAGACCTTAAAACAGAATTACCATTCAACCCAGCAATCCCACTACTGGGTATATACCTGAAGGAATATAAATTATTGTACCATAAAGACACACGCACATATATGTTTACTGCAGCACTCCTCATAATATCAAAGACATGTAATCAACCTAAATGCCCATCAATGGTAGACTGGATAAAGAAAATGTGGTACATACACACCATGAAATACTATGTGACCATAAAAAAGAGTCAGATCCTGTCGTTTGCAGCAACATAGATGGAGCTGGAGGCCATTATCCTAAGCAAACTAACACAGGAACAGAAAACCAAATACAGCATATTCTCACTTATAAGTGGCAGCTAAACAATGAAAACACATGGACACAAAGAAGGGAACAACAGACACCAGAGACTACTTCAGGTTGTAGGGTGAGAGGATCAAAAAGCTACCTATCAGATACTATGCTTATTACCTGGGTGACAAAATAAACTGTACACCAAACTCCTGTAGCATAAGTTTACCTATATAACAAACCTGCACATGCACTCCTGAACCTAAAAGTTAAAAAAAAAAAAAAATACTGCCAAAGAATTAGAAAAAATCACTTCCTACCAGGAAGAATCAAGAAGAAAACATAAATGTATTCATAAGTGTACTTTGTATTCACAGAAATGTATACAAAGCTTGCCTTTGAAATTTAGAAACTCAGTCTCTAATACCTATGGCAATGTGGTAGCTCAGTCTGGCAAAATCACTAAACTTCTCATAGATTAATTAAAAATTTCTGAGTCACTGAGTATTATAGCTCCTGTATTTCACTATACTTCCACGAGAAGTAATGCCAAATCCATTTCAGTTGTTTAAAACAAAGATGCCTTCCCATCCTACCAGTTAGGTATCAAGTTAATATATAGCATACTCCTTATGTATGTTCAGAAAACAATAGAAGGCAAAACATCTATAGCTGCTTTATATAATCCAAGGCTTTCTCTAGGAATGACAGTTCTCGACTACCTTAAAGATTAATATTTTCTATAAAACTAACCTGAGAAGCTGCAAAGTTTGGAGATTTCATTTAATGAAATATTAAGTTATAACATTTTAGAATTGTGAAACAGATTTTATACATTGATAAAAAGGGAAATTTCAAAATACTCTTTGTAATGTTATCACAACTCTAACAGGGTGTACCAAAATGAAGGTAACAATAGGAAAACTAGTAAAGCAAAGACATAAACATTTGCTGTTGTTAAAACCAAGAGGTCCTTTTACTTTAGACATACATCTCTAATCTCTATAAATCTAATATATAAGGATAATTTATTAACAGCAAATGCAAACATTATAATGAATAACTTGGGAAACAAACCTGTTGTGAGAATCCACAGAAGAACTGGTACAAAAACTGTGGCAAAATGAAACAAAGGTTCTAGAAAAAAAACATTAAGACAAGAATTAACATCTTCACTTAATCAACTTGCTAAACTAAAATGGGAATATATATGCCAAGTAGTTTACAATTATTCCTAAATCCTTCTAATGTCAGAACGCAATAAACCTCTATTCCAGAGACATAAGGTAACAACTCAAAAAATTATTAATTCATATTAAGAACAACTTTTGCCCTATCAAGGCAGAAGAGGATCTTATTTACTTTATGAGAATCTCTTGCTATTCTTCTTCCAGGAAAGAAATGAGCTAATCCAATATGAACACTAAATGGTACTGTATCTTTAACACCAATTAGATTTGCAAATCATATAGTAGACTGACAATGCTATAAGCATACAAAGTCAATGCCAATAGTTAGGAAACTACTACAGATTATATTGACACTAACAATATCAACAAATGCTTTAATACCTTTATTACTACCTCATCAAACAATCAACATATCATTATTGAGCATCTATTATACACAAAGATGGCACATAGGTGATACCAAAAAAAAGTCAACTTCTTTCTCCTAAGTCAGGGCCCCCACCCCACCCCTTCCTGAGGCTGCACAACAGGAGGTAGCGGCAGGCAAGTGAGCCTAACAGTCTGAGGTCCCTGATGCCAAAAAGGTTGGAGATTGCTGTCCTAAGGGACTTCTTTAATTTGAAAAATACTAAAAAGGCAAGCTGGGAATTCATAAGGTAGTAAAAGCTACTAAGTGTGATTATAAAATATTGAAATTGATGTCTTTAAGCAAAACCACTAGGACTAGAATTTTCAAACAAGTGCTATCCTTCAAAGCAGGCTGTAAGCTTCTTTGCTGTCACTTGCTCATGGTTATCTCTGAACTTCCCTTCAACAAGCTGCTTCAAGAGCCCACTTTCCAGTCATGCCAGAAAACCAGTCTCCTCCCTTCTGTCAGCTAATTCTCCAGAATTAGCTCTAGGAGACTTGAGACTGTTTTTAAAAATCAAATGCAACCTTAAAGGATGAACATCTACCACAGCTGAGGATATTCAGATCAATGTACTACTGGCTCTGGAGGACGTTTCTAAAGAAATGAGCTCAACATGTTTTGAATCACCCCTGCAGTATGAGTCAGAGCTCCCAAGGTCATCACCTGGAAGAGCAACATTCATTTTATATTATCAGTTCTGATACAAGGCAAGATGTAGTTCAAAGTATTTCTCGAGTCACAGTTTACGTAAAAAATAAGTGTTCTGAGGTTGAAGTAGGTAGAGTTCAGTAAGGATCATAGGGTTGCTTCATGAGAAGGGAGAGTGGGTGTCTACCTCATCCATGAGAATGTAAGTTTCATGAGAACTGGGACATTACCTGTCTTATTCCATGGTGTATCCTCAAGTGCCTAAAACAGGACTTGGCACATGATAATACATTTAAAATACATTTGTTGACTGATTGAATAAAGAAGTTAAAACTTGAACTATGAATAAAGATGAACAGGACATACTGATGGCAGGAACCAAGGCAAGAACGTATGTATTTTAAACTTATATGGTAAGACAGGGTCAGACTGTGGGGTGCCTTAAAAGCCAGACTAAAGCTGAGACAATAGAGAGTAAAGTTTCTAAGGAACAAGCTGAAAAGTGGCATTCTTTTTTTCTGTTGCTTAATTATTTGTTTATTTATTTATTTATTATACTTTAAGTTCTGGGGTACATGTGCAGATCGTGCAGGTTTGTTACATAGGTATACACGTGCCATGGTGGTGGTTTGTTGCATCCATCACCCCGTCATCTATATTATGTATTTCTCCTAATGCTATCCCTCCCCATGTCCCCACCCCCTACTATTCCTCCCCTAGACTCCCATCCCCCAGGCCCCAGTGTGTGATGTTCACCTCCCTGTGTCCTTATGTTCTCATTGTTCAACACGAAAAGTGGCATTCTTTAAACACTAATCAAGTTGAATGATGTAAGGAGGATTAAATTGAGAAACGTAAAGCAGGAAGGCCTGTCACTGAAGTACTCCACGAGTGGGCAATAACAATTTGAAGATGCAGTGGCAAGAGGAAGGAAAGACTTCTTAGGCCAGCCAAATAGAGTTGGAAATACTAGAAATCCTCTTGGCACAAAAGATATTAATAAAAAAGAAATACTGCTGAGTCAGTAACCAAGATGATAATGGGCCTAGAGATACTAAGGAAAGACAGAGGTTATCATCTACATAAATAGTTGCCGGTCAACATTTGCCATTTTAATGCTTGTTTTGTTCTCCTTAACAGATCATTCCTTCCATCTGGTGGCAGGTGCTTGAATTGCAGGCCAAAATTCGAAAGAGGCAAAGTAAGCCTCTGGAATAGGTTCAGATTACTAGGCAGATCTGTATGACAAATCTTCAAGGGATCTCCTACTAGGTGGAGGTCAAGAGAGAATAACCCTTTATTTCCATGAACTGCTGGGTACAAGGTGCAACAGACCCTAACTGTGACACAGGAAAAGTCATGGATTTGGATTAAATGAGTCTATGGTGGAACATCTAGCTCTGTCACTTCCAGGCTAGAAAGCCAAAGGCAAGTTATATCATCTTTCTGAGCTCTATTTTCCATGTATCTTAAATGGAGATAATACTACTTGCTTCATAGGATGTTTGTGAGGATTACATTTTTTAAAAAGTGATTTTGTGAACTCACAAAATACCTTACACATATTGGGTTACCATCGTCATTATCATCATCTTCCCCCTCCCACAGTGTTTGGCCTGGCTACCAAAGGATACTGGCTGGCAGGGTCTTAGAAAATCTGTGAAACTGGGTTCACAGTTTCATAAATATATATTTTCATTAATATAAAGTTAGTAAGAAAGACCCAGGCTTGACTATAGACAACTGACATGCAAAATCAGTTGCTGAGCATTAGCTCTTGTAAAATATAGAGTATGAAATTCAAATATCATAACTACTTGAATCATATACTAAATTCCATAGGATTTGAGTAGTTGGAACATACACTTAATACTATACCTACAAACTAGAATATAAGAAATTTGGTAAATTCTATTCCCTGGGAGACAATAACAGGTATGCAGACTCACTCTAATGTATACTCTAATGCTTGGTGATAAAACGAAACCAAGGTATTGCTGAGGAAACTACTTCAGTGTCCAATATTGGGGATTTGTGATGTTGCACAATCATGTTTTGAAGAATATTAAATTGGGTGAGAAAAATGTTCACAATATAAATTAAATGAAAAAGGCAAGTGCAAAGCAAGATGTATTACACCAATATGTACAAGGTCTCTTTTGGGAATGATAGAAAAGTTTTATAATTAGACAGTGATGATGGTTGCACATTGTAAGTCACTGAATTATACACTTTAAAATGGTGAAATTTAGGCCAAGCACGGTAGCTGAAGCCTGTAATCCCAGCACTTTGAGAGGCCGAAGGGGGCAGATCACTTGAGGTCAGGAGTTCGAGACTAGCCTGGCCAACATGGTGAAACCCTGTCTCTACTAAAAATACAAAAATTAGCCATGCATGGTGACATGTGCTTGTAATCCCAGCTACTTGGGAGGCGGAGGCATAAGAATCGTTTGAACCCAGGAGGCGGAGGCTACAGTGAGCTCAGATTGCACCACTGCACTCCAGCCTGGGCAACAGAGCGAGACTCTGTCTTTAAGAAAAAAAAAGGTAAATTTTGTTAAATTATATCTCAAAAAAAATTTTTTAACCCTTATGTAGTGTATAGTGTATAAAAGTATAAAAATAGTATGTACACACATTAATTTGTATAGACAAAAGACCAGAAGGTCACATATCAAAATGTTACCACTGGTTCTCTTGGTTGGCATGTTTATAGACAATTACAAATGACTGCAAAAATTTCATTTTAGAAATTTTTTTTTTTTTTTTGTAGAGACAAGGACTCATTATATTGCCCAGGCTGGTCTCGAAATCCTGATCTCAAGTGATCCTCCTGCCTTGACCACCCAAAGCACTAGGATTATAGGAATGAGCCATTACCAGGCCAAAATGTTGTATTTTTTTGATTGGTGTGATGGTTACATGGATGTATACATTTGGCAAAACTCATGAAACTGTACACTTTTGATGAATACACTGTGTTGTATTTAATTTATACTTCAATAAAGAGGGCTTTAAAATTCCTATAGAATATTTTACATCAAAAGGAATTGCTGGTTTCTGATTCATTCAACAGACCACCTCTGCTTTGTTGACTACAAATTTCACTATGACATAGCAAAAGCAGCATGAAAAAAGGAACAAAACCATGACCAAGCTGAGCCAATGCTGGATTTAAGCAAAATTAAATTACATATATTTTATCACATACCTTATAGAAGAAGTACTGTACAAGGTGTGCTATTCTCACATAATATAGATGTCCATGAGCCAACAGCAGTTTCTTTAAGTGTTTAAACTTCGGAACAGAATAATCGCTATTCCTAGCTGCTTGGCGACCTTCTTTGCCTTTAATTCCTAAAAGAGAGTATCTCTATACAGTGAGCATTTTCTAGAATAAATGACTCCCAGATTTATTTTCATAGTTTCAACTTGGTTAAATGTCATAGTTCTATTTTATCATTTAGTTTCCCCTTTTTAAAAACCAAAGGGGTAATAACAGTGACACTGAGACTTACCAAATAATTTAACTAGGTTTAACTGGTAACTCCCTATTTGTAATACAACATATAATAATTAAATAGAATCATTATTTCAATCATTACAAGGCAAAAATTATATGAAGGAAAAAGATTCAACTTAAAAATGATTAAGTCACTCATTAAGTGCTTAATTGTGTATGATGCTAGACTAGGTGTTTTAAGGCAACTCAGAAACCTGGGGTTTGTGGTCTAGGAGCTCAATGATAAAACAGTGAAATTCTTTCATGAATGAGGGTTCTATTAGCTTGAGCAGCTTTAGGCCATTTCCATACTTGGATAACCAACGAGTAGAACTTTAGTTGCACACTAAATAGTACTACTTCCAAATGGAAAGAACAATTTGGGAATCCAAACTGCAGTACAATAATTCACAAGATATGAATTCCATATCTGGCCCCACCACCATGCCAAAACAAACTAGCTAACTAACTTGCTGAGGAGTTAGTTTTGTTGCCTAACAGCAACCTGAGAAGGGAAAAAATGGTACAGATGGTGGAAAAGCTGTTGCTGCATGTCAACATATAAATTCAACACCACAGCCCAAACTACCCATAAATACTGCCACATTGAAAAACAGCCAACCAGTTATCATTTCTCAGCTCCAAACAGTTGAGATCTCAAAAGATATAGTACAGCAACATAAGCAGGCCGTCTGGCCAGGAGCAGAAAATCAATAAAAATTTCATGCATGCTGTCAAAGTAAGAGCTAAACAGTCAATTGTGCTGCCACTAGCTTTGGGAAATTCACTTGACTTGGCTAGTTGAAAAATATCCTTTAACTTTGTAACACTGCTACATTTCTACCACAGGGTAGACCTTGGGATGGACATGTTGCATGATCAGATGAGGCCTTCATTTACTTAACAATTATCATTCCAAAATTCAAATTCAAGATGAGCAACCAAAACAGTCACTCTAGAATATAAGACCACACTACCTAAAAGCAATACTGGTACTTTTTACAGCTGCCATCTCATTAGATATATCTTACCTATTCCCACATGGGATTCCAAGATCATACTAACATCATTGGCACCATCACCTATCGACAGAGTTATTGGGCTGCCTTTTAAATTCTTCACCATTCTGACAATCTAAATATTAAATACAAAAGAGGTATAAAAACGGTCAAAGAAGAATGTAAGATTGGACTACTTTAGGGGTTTATGCCTCATTCACACTTGTAAATAGTGACCTTGCAAACAGAAAGGTAGTTTGTGCATATATAGTCATCCCTCAGTATCCTTGGAAGATTGGTTCCAGTACCCTTGTAGATACCAAAATCCTCCTGCATACTTTAAATTATCTCTAGGTTACTCTGAATACCTAACTACAATATAAATGTTATGTAAATAGCTGTCATACTGTATTGTTTTAAAATCTGTATTATTTTTATTGTTATATTGTTAATTGTTTTAGTTTTATACTAATGTTTTCAATCCACAGTTGTTTGGATCTGTGGATGCAGGACCCGTGGATACGGAGGGCCAACTGTAATATGTACAATAGTGTCAAATTCATAGAATGCAGAACACAGCCATTCAAACTGTAACACCAACACCAGTTTGTCCTAGTTCTGTACATACATGAACTATCAAAAAACTTGCCTCTCATGCATATTAGAGGTCAATACATTTCCTTCTTTTGTGATTGCATAATGTGTTATTTCAGATCCGATGTTGAATGTATGACAGAAGCCAGAAAGTTGATTTGGGGTAACATATATAGGGCCACCAGAACCAAGTGGAAAGTCAGAGAACAATGTTTTTGGTTACTTTCTACTCTCTCCTTGCTGCTGACACTCTCACCTTTTCTAGGAGCACATCAACCCTTATTCCCAGGAACCTACCTAATGTTAAATTCTTGCACCTATCTGGCTGCCAACTAAACTTTAATAAATCTCTCACTGCTCAATATGATCTGACCTCTCCTATGAGTAGCTATATTTTAAAAGATGTATACTAAAGGGGCTGACATTTGCAGAAAGATGCCCAAGATATGTGTACAAAGTCTGTCACTATTCCCTGAGCGTTTTTTCAGATCAAAGCCTGTCACTATTCCCTGAGTGTTCTTCAAGATGTATAAATGATACTGTGTAATTCAGTGCCATGTTCATGACAGGTACTGAAAAAAATGTTCATCCCTGGTACTAAAATACTTCTGTCTTGTGGTTCTCCAAAAACCTTCTGGCAGAGTTATTTGTCGGAAGTCTATTGAGTAATCAGCTGCCCTCCTTCCCTATGTTTTAGATAATCACTGTTAGATGTGGCAAGCCACAAAACCCCTTGGAATCTAGCAGCTTAAAAAAACTTTAAATAATTTAGTAGCTAAATAATGCTTTGCAAAAATACTGTCCTCACAATTGCTCTGACCAGTTAACATAAATAAAATCCATTTTCAACATAACTGGAGTGATTAAAAATAATTCATATGAGGCTAAGGCACCCTGCAGTTATTTCTTTAAACAGAATTCAATCAGGTTGTAGTTGTATTAAATGGTACAAAGAAACCCCACATCCAATTCCACTTAACACAAAAATGTTGTGACTGCAAAATGCCAGCTTTCCCCAATCCCTCCCCCTCAGGTTGGTTCCTCTTAAAAACTTTATAGAAGACTGTCAGAAATCACCTGTAAGTGAAAGAATAAAAGACAAAATTAAAGAACCCCAACTAAATTTGTTTGTAATAGGCTACAACAATGGTTAACTAAGTGCACATGTTATACTGTGTGCAGTAATGATTTGCACGTCAAGGAAAAAATACACAGCCAGGGAAGGTTTAGAGAAGGCAATAAAATTATCAAGAGTGACAGCTTCTGTATGAAAATATAGACTAAAAAGAGTAAAACTCATCCTTGTGGAAAGATAAAAGGGTATTCAATCATGTACCATAAAATAATGAAGGATTTAGATTGGTAAACATGGACTTTTTCACTTAGCCCTAGGTCAACTAGATTAAGACCTCTTCAATCTCTAGGATAGCTTCATGAAAAAAAAGTTACAAAATATTGTTTATTCATCAATTATAATAGCTTGCTTTATTTTATATACAGGAATGTGCTAAGAGCCAAAACAGAAAGTTTCATTAGACACCTTAAAAAGCATATAAATGAAGTAGTAAAGTTAGGTCATGAGTACAAGAATATTAGATAAACAGATTAACAATACAAGGTAACAAAACGTAGCATCTGTGCAGGGTTACGTGATACTGTCATCCACATAAGAAGGTCTAGGATGTCAGAGAAGGGAGAAGACATCACATGCCCAAGTGATCAGAAATTTTACAGAAGGAAGAGTGATTTGATCTAAATCACAAAATATTAGTTAAGACTCGCATAGATGAGAAAGAAAGGAGTATTTCAGAGAAAGGGATTAGCATATCCAAGAGCATACAGCCAGATAAATACAGTACCTGCTGAGAGAAGAGATCTGGCTTGCCCAGATCAATTGGAATTTTCATATGGGGGACATGGACAGAAATATCTGGAGCTAGTTCAACAGGGAGTGATATGAAAGTGGCAGCAGGGTGTAGGAAGAAGTGGAGGAAAGCAAGACTGTAGGCAAAGAGAGAAGTTAGGTGGCTAGTTCCAGAAGTTCAATGAGCTATTGAAAGCCCTGGCTCGGAAAGGTAATGAAAAGAAGGGAATAGATGGAAAAGACAATGTAATAAGAAATATACAACATTTAGTTACTAAGACCACCAACCACAATGGAAGAGTAAAGTATGTGGAAAGGCAACACAGGTTTCAAGGTTTTGAATCTAGAAATCTGGAAGTACACTGATGTCAGTCATAGAAAAAGAACATGCCAAGGAAAATGATGGTTGGACTCTAGAGAAGTCAGATTTGGGGTGATAATCCCACACCTAAGAATATGTGTTTGGCTGAAGAAGATGATTACCAAATATTTGGATTGGGGATAGTGACTTGAACATCACCTACGTGAACGTGACAGCTAAGTATGTAATATCCTGCAAGAAATGACTATACTGACAGAAATAAAACAAAATGAGGATTAAACCACAAGTGGTGGCATAATCAAGGTGGAAGAAGCAGCATGGGGTCAGGAATTCATATACCTCCCTGACAATGAAGCAGTCAGAACCCAGGTGAACAATTTGAGCAGCATACACTGAATGTAAGGGAAAAAAAAGAGGTTGCTTTTGCAGGCAAACCTCTGACTAAGGGGACAGATACTTTTGGATAGTGTGTTCTGGTTGGATCTGATTCCCGACCTGCGGCCAAGAGAGGTTTTCAAGATTGAAGAAAAGAAAGAAGAGCCTCTGATTGCAGTGGGGACTGAGAAATAGAAGGCAGACAGGAGAAATGCCCCATATACGATGGGTGTGTGTGTGTGTGTGTGTGTGTGTGTGTCTGTGTGTGTGTGTGTGTAAAATGCCCACATATGATGGGGATGTGTGTGTGTGTGTGTGTGCACACGCCTGTGCGCGCACGCACACATTACGTAAAGGAAAAGCCACAGACACGGCCATCCCCTTTAGAGCAACTGGTTAAAGAATCTGATAAAGCAAGACTAACACATATGAAAGAATATCCTATAGCACATATGGAAATGAAAAAGTATGTAATGGAGACTCTAAGTTTCCTCATACCAAGTGAATACAAAGAAGCAAGGTGAGTCAGATCAATTTGGACTGGAGGAGCTGGAAAAGATAGCATGTAGGAGGTGGCCCTTCAGCTAGGTTTCATTATGAGCAAAATTTTTGTTAGACCAGAAGAATTCAGAAAGAATGCCAGATGAGGAAATGATGTGACAAAAGTTTTCAAAGTTGCCCTGAGCATGACATATGGAAGACCACAGAGGAACAACCAACAGGAGTGGAGAATTTACGCCAGAGAAAGGAGTGATAGCGGACACAACGCACAAAATACGTAGAGACATGTTAAGGGACAACAATGGGGAGCCCCATGTACGACCTTCAGTCAACTGCCCTTCATCCTGAGAGACTATGAAACTACTGAAAGTGTCTGAAAAAGAATATATGATGGCAAGAGCTGTGTTTTAACAAGATTAATTTGGGAGTGTGGAGGGATTAAAAATGGATGTGTGAAAGCAAGGAGACTAGTGAGGAGACTAAATCAAATAGTCTATGTGTAAAGTCACAAGGGCTTGGACTAGTCGGGCAGTAAAAGGTTTTGAAATACGGCATCAAAATGAGAGCTATGACAAAAGCTAGGACCAATAGGACATGGTGTCTATATGTAGAGGGAAAGGAGAAGGATCAAAGGTAGTTTTGAGACATAGGGAACAAGAGAAAAATAACACTGGTAACAAGAGCAATATAAAAGAAAAACCAAACTGGTCTGAGGAAGAACATTTTAAGATCTGTGTTGGACACTAGAATTTTTGTGACAGTAGGGAATCCATATAGAGTTGTCTAGCAGACAAGTAGAAATAGGAGACTTAATGTCAAGAAAAAGTCAGGGCCACACATTTATCAATGGGAGTCAGAGAAATAGATATGCTTATCCAGTGAGAGACCATAAAGTTGAAAGTGGAGAAAAAACTTTGCCCTAGAAAAAACAGATAATTAGGGAGAAAATAGACAATGGGACAAAATAAAAAGCCACTAAGTTGACAAATAAAATGTCAGGACCACGGACCATCACAGAAACCATGAAAGGATAATTTTAAGGAGGATATAATTGATGATGTCAAGTGCTAAGGAGAAATGAGAAAGAGAATGGAAGACTACACAAGGGATGGGCCAGGTCTACCTGCGGGCAAGCCAATGGAGTAAGAATAGCAGAAAGAACACACAGAGCTAATGTCATAAGGGGTCTAGGAGCAGTGGCAACAAGCACAAAGCACTCATCAGAGAAAAAAGTCTGGAAGGTGAGGAATTGGGACAGCCAGACTGAGGGGACAGCAAGATACAGCATAAATTTAATTCGAAATGGGAAAAGACTTCTGAATCTGATTACAAAAAGAAAAAAGCCTGAGAGGAAGAAATTAGATGGTAATAATGGCCCTTTGAAGAAGAAATAATTTTTTTTAAAAAATAAACATTTGCACATATGTGTATAGAAATATCCAGAATGGAACGTTAACTAATGTTCACAGTTACCTGGGCTTTCTGTAATGGTGCCATCCGACAGCAGAGCACTGCAGTACACTTCATACATATTTGTAGGAAAATGCTTTTGTAATTGTTTGAACTAGAGTCTTGACTGGAATTTAGTATGAGTGACAATGTGGAGCCATCTATGATTAATCCATATTCCTGATGTTCTGTCCATGCTCTGAAAAAGAAAAACAATGCTATGTTTGGATCTATTATACATTTCTATTTAGGATCCAGATTTTATAAACCACAAAGGGGGCTGTTCCAGGTAAGAGGAGTCATCAGTCTGGTTCCTTGACCTTTGCACTCTAAAGAAGCAAGGGCCTCTAATAATGGCACAACAGTGACTTGCAATCCTACCTTTGAGACCCAAGTTGCACATATAGATGACTGTAAGTTCCAAAAGGTCAACTTGGTGAGGCCACATTTCCCAGTTATCTAACCAAACAAGCATCTAAGTGTTGCTATAAAGGTACTTTGTAGATGTGATAAAAGTCCACAAGCAGTTGATTTCAAGTAAGAGAGATCATCCTAGATAACTAGAGTGGGCCTGATTCAGTCACTTGAAAGGTTTTAAGAGAAGCGCTGAGACTTCCTAACGCAGTAGCCTTAGCTTCTTCCTGAGATTTTGCATTTCTGTCCAGTGACAATGGAGCTGCTATTCTATAGATGAAACTTTGAATAGTGAGGGCCTCATATACCTCATCACTCCTTTATTCTATATTCCTTCAGTGTATACTGCTAATACCATAATATTGTATACTTATCCATATTTTGCTGCATAATTTTATTCACTAAATAAAGAGATGTCAATGATTGTGTTCTCTTTCTTTGCTCCCCTACTCATATATTAATAGCTTACTTTTGGGGCTGAAAACAGCAACTCAATAACCAATGAAGAAATACTTGTGAACACCAACTATAAGCTCACTATATAGAGGAATACAAAGAATTACTGACTAACCTTTTTATGGAGAATAGAAAATCTCCTTACAGTGATGGAAGCATACATGAGAGAACATACCCAACCAAACAAGATATTCAATTTAATGCTCAGTTATTGAGACACATCCACACAGAAAATAGTGAATTCTCTGTGAAGTGTGGTATATAAAGTAGGACTTGAAAGACAAGGAGGAGGTCAAGTAATAGAATGTATGTTGGGGTGCACTGGAAAAGCACATTGAAAAGGTCACTTAAGGCCTTTGGTGTGGCCTGAATCTGTGGGTAATAGAGAACCACCAAAGGTTTCTGAGCAGAACTGTGATAGGGACAGTACTTCACTTAAAGATCATTCATCTGGCAGAGGGGCTTAAGGGATTTCATGCATGAGGTACTAGGCCTCTAATGCGGGGCACTAGTAGTGAAAATGGGAGTATGAATAAGGCTTGGGGACTGATTTGAAGGGGAAAGGGCAAAGGAGCAGAAGCCAGCAAAGGTGATGCTATGAGTCTGAACCCTGTGTAAGTAAGCAGAGAAAAGACTAAGCCCTACTCCACACAGATAACCAGGAAGATGGGTTGATCTGAGACAGTGATAGAATGCAAAGTTTTCCTTAAGCTCTGGCTTTTATAGAAGTCCCTTCGGGGCTGCTGAATGGTGCTACAGACTGAATTGTGTTCCCCCACAAATTCGTATGTTGAAGTCCTACCCCCAATGTGATTGTACTTGAAGATAGCACCTTTAGGGGGTGAGGCCCTCATAATGGGATTTTTGTCTGTTATAGGCTGAATTGCATTCTCCCAAGATTCCTCTGTTGAAGCTCTTAACTCCCAGTGTTGTGTTATTAGAAGGTAAGGGCCCTTGAGAGGTAACTGGCTGATGTGATTTGGCTATGTCCCCACCCAAATCTCAACTTTAATTGTACTCCCAGAATTCCCATGTGTTGTGGAAGGGACCCAGTGGGAGGTAACTGAATCATGGGGGCCAGTCTTTCCTGTGCTATTCTTGTGAGAGCTGAGTGATGTCTCATGAGATCTGATGGGTTTATCAGGGGTTTCCACTTTTGCTTCTTCATTTTTCTCTTGCCACTGCTACATAAGAAGTGCCTTTTGCATCCTGCCATGATTCTTAGGCCTCCCTAGCCATGTGAAACTGTAAGTCCAATTAAACCTCTTTTTCTTCCCAGTCTCAGGTATGTCTTTATCAGCAGCACGAAAACAGACTAATATAGTAAATTGGCACCAGTAGAGTGGGGCATTGCTGAAAAGATACTTGAAAATGTGGAAGTGACTTTGGAACTCAGTAAGAAAGAGGCAGAGGCTGGAAAAGTTTGGAAGGCTCAGAGAAGACAGGAAGATGTGGGAAAATTTGGAACCTCCTAGAGACTTGTTGAATGGCTTTGACAAAAATGCTGATAGTGATATGAACAGTAAGATTCAGGCTGAGGTGGTCTCAAAATGAGGAACTTGTTGGGAACTGGAGCAAAGGTGACTCGTTACGTTTCAGCAAAGAGACTGGCGGTGTTTTGCCCCTGCCCTAGAGATTCGTGGAACTTTGAACTTAAGAGAGATGATTTAGAGTATCTGGCGGAAGAAATTTCTAAGCAGCAAAGCATTCAAAAGGTGATTCAGGTGCTGTTAAAATCATTTTATTTTAAAAGGGAAACAAAAGCTCAGGAAAATTTGCAGCGTGACCACGTAAAAGAAAAGAAAAAACCCATTTTCTGAGAAGAAATTCATACCAGCTGCAGAAATATGCATAAGTAGCAAGGAGCCTAATGTTAATCCCCAAGACCATGGGGGAAATGTCTCCAGGCCATGTCAGAGACCTTCACAGCAGCCCCTCACATCACAGGCCTGGAGGCCCAGGATGAAAAAGTGGTTTCATGGGCCAGGTCTAGTGTCCCCATGCTGTGTGTAGCCTAGGGATTTGGTGCCCTGTGTCCAAGCTTTTCCGGCCATGGCTTAAAGGGGCCAACGAAGAGCTTGGGCCATGGCTTCAGAGGGTGGAAGCCCCAAGCCTTGGCAGCTTCCACATGGTGTTAAGTCTGTGGGTGCATAGTCAAGAACTGAGGCTTGGGAACCTCCACCTAAATTTCAGAAGATGTATGGAAATGCCTGGGTGCTCAGGGAAAAGTTTGCTGCAGGGATGGTGCCCTCATGGAAAATCTCTGCTCGGGCAGTGCAGAAGGGAGATGTGGGGACAGAGCCCTCACACAGAATCCCTACTGGGGCACTGACTAGTGGAGCTGTGAGAAGACGGCCAACATCCTCCAGACCCCAGAATGGTAGCTCCACTGATGGCTTGCACCACGCACCTGGAAAAGACACAGCCCCTCAATGCCAACCTGCAAAAGCATCCAGGAGGGAGGTTATACCCTGTAAGGCCACAGGGGCAGAGCTGCCCAAGACCATAGGAATCCACCTCATGCATCAGCATGACTTGGATGTGAGACACAGAGTCAAATTTTGGCTGGATTTCGGGCTTGCATGGGCCCTGTAAACCCTTTGTTTTGGCCAATTTCTCTCATTTGGAATGGCTGTATTTATGCAATACCTGTACACCATTCTATCTAGGAAGTAACTAGCTTGCTTTTGATTTTATACAAGCTCATAGGCAGAAAGGACTTGCCTTGTCTCAGATGAGATTTTAGACTGTGGACTTTTGGGTTAATGCTGAAATGAGTTAAGACTTTGGGGGACTGTTGGGAAGATATGATTGGTTTTGAAATGTGAGGACATGAGATTTGGAAGGACCAGGGGTGGAATAAAATGGTTTGGCTGTGTCCCCACCCAAATATCAATTTGAATTGTATCTCCAAGAATTCTCATGTGTTGTGGGAGGGATTCAGAAGGAGTTAATTGAATCATGGTGGCCGATCTTTTCCTGCACTATTCTCGTGACAGTGAATTAACTCTCACGAGATCTGATGGGTTTATCAGGGGTTTCTGCTTTGGCCTCTTCCTCATTTTTCTCTTGCTGCCACCATGTAAGCAGTGCCTTTTGCCTCCTGCCATGATTCTGAGACCTACCCAACCATGTGGAACTCTAAGTCCAATTTAACCTCTTTTTGTTCCCAGTTTCAGTATGTCTTTAACAGCAGTGTGAAAACAGACTAATACACTGACTTTAGATGAGTTAATGAAGGCGGGGCCTCCATGATGGGATTACTGCCCTTATAAGAGGAAGACACAGCCTGGGCGTGGTGGCTCATGCCTGTAATCCCAGCACTTTGGGAGGCTGAGGCAGGCAGATCACCTGAGGTCAGGAGATCGAGACCAGCCTGACCAACATGGAGAAACCCCGTCTCTACTAAAAATACAAAAAATTTAGCCAGGCGTGGTGGTGCATGCCTATAACTCTAGTTACTCAGGAGGCTGAAGCAGAAGAATTGCTTGAACCTGGTGGGCAGAGGTTGTGGTGAGCTGAAATCATGCACTCCAGCCTGGGCCACAAGAGTGAGACTTTGTTTCAAAATAAAAAAGAGGAAGAGACAACAGAGCTCTCTCTGCTATGTGAGGACACAGGAAAAGGGCAGCCATCTGCAAGTCAGAAGAGAGCCCTCACCAGAAACCAACCATGCTGACACTCCAGTAACAGAACTTTAGCCTCCAAAACTGTGAAAAATAAATTTCTGCTTTTTAATCTACCCAATCTATCGTATTTTGTTATGGCAGCCCAAGTAGACTAAGACAAAAGGAGAGGTAAAATACACATATTTTGGACTGTCTTTATTAGCACCACTTGGCTAATGGAAATGTTTCTCATAGGCAATTAATAAAAACCTATTTATTCTCACTGATGCCCAAGTACTAGAACAACAGCTGTTTTAAAATTGGCCATAGCCTCATGAATGTGGGCTATTCATTTTTAAAGTTTGTTTAAATATTAGAGATGAGTATACAGATATAGCATAGTTGTTATAAGCAAGGTATCTGGAATTAGATAGACTTTCTGAACTCCTTCTTAGCTGTGTGATCTCTATCTGTAAAATGAAGAAAATACAGTTGCCTAACGGGGTTGTTAATGAAGATTAAATGACAATTATCATACAAAGCCCTTAACACTGTTTCTGGAACATAAAGTGTGCTCAAGAAATTAAAAATAATATTGCTTAGGGATATTTCGAGTTAGTACAGACACATCCCATGGCATTCCAAAAAAGGAAATCAATTTGCTTATGGCCAAGGTAAATTTAAGTAATTGGTTTAGACAAGGTTGACCCTTGGTCAATGGGAAGTATAGAAGATATATGTCTGGGAATTGAATTATTGTGTATCAGTGGCTTTCCCTGACACCTTTATGTTCCACAAATTCTTCCTAGTTCAAAGCAGAGTCAAAGCGGCCATGTCCTCTAAATAAAGTGGCCATGTTAACAAGTATTTGGTTCCCTTTGGAGGTGCAGGGTATAAAAATGCACATAAAATGGCTCCAGAACCTCAAAATGCATGAAAATTGTCATAGAGATTGATTTTATTACATTCAATTTAAGAGACTGTGAAAGCAATATTTTTTTCTTAACATGGACCAGGCCATAATATCAACATTGAACACCTAGACTGTAAACATTTAAAAATTGAGCTGTTTTTCTAAACCTTCAGAAATGTGCAGTTTTAAGTTAAAAGAAAGGTGGAAAGTGCCAAATAATCTGAAATGGGCCATCAGTCAAGTCCTCAGGGACGATTTTAACTTATAACGATAACACCGGCAAATAGAAAATCATAAATTACAGAAAGTAAAGCCTTGTATATACACAGCTGTGATTTACATCTGCACCAATGTCTACATAAAAGAAACTGATGTACTTTCTTACTTTTTAAGGCTTCTAGTACTTTTAGGAAATTCATGCAGCAGTTTCTTACGATATTCTATCAATAATTCATGTAATCGATCTTCTTTTCTTTCACTTTCTTCAATGGTTTTTGTGGTTAGTTCTAAGAGCTCGGTGTTGGTTTGGAAAAGGCGGCAGGCATAGCACGTGGATTTAGCTGTCTCCATCTTGTCCCCAGTGAGCACCCAGACTTTCAGGCCTGCTGCATGCAGAGCTTCAATGGTCTCTGCAGCTTGATCTTGTAGCCTGGGAACACAAAAGAAACCTGTGATTTCCTAAAATTCCTGACAAAGATTCTACAGGAAGGCTTGTTAAAGACAGTATTTTTTATAATTCATAGCAGTTCTAGAGTCCTGACACCTTATCATGGTTGGCTTTCATAAACATCCCCTACTCATTCCGAGTGTTGTCTCTGGCATAGTTTCACTTACTAAATTTTAAACAATGAGGTTCTGAAAAGTTTGTGACACCTCAAAGTAACTGGTATCCAATGGCAGAATTGAGTATCATCATTCTAAGCTAAGATGTTCAGAAAGATTTGTACTCACTGTCACTTCAGCATATTTCATTGCTATATCTAACCATACCAATACTTAACATCACTTAACATCATTAAAAGTATAAAGGGCCAAAGATTCTAATCAGATAATGAGGGAAATTAGTGAATCCCTATCCCTGAGGAGCTTTAAGAACAGGAACATGAGTTTTGAAGATGGCTGACTAGGGACGTCAGATGCCAATTGTCCTCATAAAAAAGATCAAAGTTACTGGTGAATGGACATGTTCTGAACTAAAAACTGCAGGAAAAGAGCCAGGACCTGTTGTTGGAGAGCCCGAAAGAGGAAGCTGGGATACAGAAAAGGAAAGTAGCGAAGAGTCTGGCAGAGACTGACCCCCGAAGAACTCAGAGCCCCAAGTAAAGGGTAGGTGGAAATGGTTCTCTGCTTCCCTGACCTTGTGACAATCTCCTGACTATCAAACTGCTGGGATACCCCTCTGCCCTCCTTACCTAAAGTAATGCTGTCAGTGGTGATACAGGAACTTCACAAGGACAGCGATCTGGGTGGCCAGCTCATGCAGGCATGTCAGTACTTCCCTCAGACCAAAACTTAGACAGTGGGAACCATTCTGTTGGTGCTGCTGTGATGGGCCAATGCCCTACCTAGGGGAATCTCTGCCCTTGCATTATCACACCATCAATCCCCAGCAAACATACTCCACAACCCACTCTGACTTTGGCAAGCTCAGGGGGATCAGCGAGTCCACAGGGAGCTAGGGGACTCCTAGAGATCTATCTCTCGGCATGGAAGGCCCCTAAGGAGGAGGTTACAGCCCACCAAGGACCCTCCTGGGACAAAGGAAATGTGGACACAGTGACAATCACTGAAGGGGGTAGCACTGACGGCCAAGAACAGTCATGAAGAGGGGACATTTCCTACTGCGCCCACCCTCTGTACACTGTTGTTGACGCAGCCTGCAGTGGTTCTTCCCAGTGGAGGGTGGCACACATGTACCTGGAGAAACTTTTCACACTTTTCGCAGTAGCTCCACCTCTGCTGAAAATGAGCTCGTGCCAATTGGGCTTACACAAAGGGCAGGACCCAACTCCCACTCCCTACACAGAGTAGCAACATCCCAGCAATGGACAGGTAAGCTGCAGAGTTGTCTGCTTTGAACATGGGGGAAAGGCTTGGCCAAAGCCCATTTGGGTGGCAACCACCAGAGAGGTGTATTCATGGTCTGCAGCCACACTGTGACCAGGAACCAAAGGATAAAGTCTATATGAACTGAAGGTTGTGAGCCCTATGACAGGGCATAATAGAGAAGCAGGTCATGTTCCTACCTGCACAGGATGAGGAACTGGTACACCCCTCCTCGTTTCTTCCCCCAAGACCTTGGCATACCCCAATAGGATCTCCACCCCTTGCCCCCATCCTCCCCTCAGGGTAGGTGTTTCCACCCATCAATCAGCCTACCAGAGGAAGAACTGACTCTTACTCTTAAGCTCCACCTACTGGACTGAAGCCTGAACTGCACCACCAAATAAATAACTTATTGTCAGAAGGGCTTAGTGCTAGTACACATGACACGCTTTCTGACACCCTTAGCCCTGCGGGAGGCAGTGTGTTGACCCTTGCATTCCATACCTCACTACAACAATCAGCATCTGAGAAAGCCACTGCACTGAAGCTATCCACAACCAAGGAAACCACACAGAGACTTGCCCCACTGAAAGCACCCAGAAACAAAGCCAAACAATCATACACAACATATAACACAGTCATATCCTCAAGGGAAAAAAGTATTGAAAAATAAAAATGTTTCATCCAAACTACAGCAAATTAAAAAATAAGAAGCGACAGATCCCTCAGATGAGAAGGAATCAGTGTAAGAACTGTGGTGGTACGAAAAGTCAGGTGTCTTGACACATTTAAAGGATTGTACTACCTCTGTAATACAGGCTAAACAGAATCAAAACTCTGAAGTGACAGATAAGGAATTCAAAATATGGATTGCAAGGCAACTCAACGAGATCCAAGAGAAAGCTGAAACCCAACACGAAGAAACCAGAAAAATGATTCAGGATATGAAAGACAGCTATAATAAAACAAACCAATTAGAACATCTGGAAATGAAAAATTCACTAAATCAATTTCAAAATATACCTGGAAGCTTTAACAATAGAGTAGACAAAGCAGAAGAACTGCAGAGCTTGAAGAGTAGTCTTTCAAATTAACCCAGTCAGATTAAAAAAATAAATTAACACAAGCAAAGTCTTTGAGAAACATGGAATTATGTAAAGCAACAAAATCTATAACTTCTTGGCATTTCTGAGAGAGAAGAAAAACAGGCAACATGGAAAACATATTTGGGGAATAATTCAGGAAAATTTCTTGAACCTTGCTCAAGATCAACATGCAGATATAAGAAATTCAGAGATCAATGGTGATATGCTACACAAGATGACCTTCACCAAGGCATATATAGTCAGACTACCCAACGTTAACAGGGAAAAAAAAATCTTAAAGGCAGCTAGATTCAAAAAAAAAAAAAAAAAAAGGAAAAATTACCTATAAATGAAATACCATCAGACTAATAGCTAATTTCTCAGCAGAAACCTTAGAAGACAGAAGATTGGGGATGTATTTTTACCCCTTTTTTAAAAGAAACAAAGTCTCAATCTGTCACCTAAAGTGAGCTGCAGTCACAGCTCACTATAACTCCTGGGTTCAAGCAATCCTCCCACCTCAGCTTCCCAAACAGCTGGGACTACAAGTATGTGACACCACGCCTAGTTTTCTAAAAAATTTGTAGGCGGGTCTCACTATCCTGCCCAGGCTAGCTGTGAGCTCCCAGGCTCAAATGATCTTCCAACCTCAACTTCTCAAAGCACTGGATTACAGGTATAAGCCACCATACCTAGCCTTTAGCCTTCTTAAAGAAAAACAACTGCAGCCAAGAATTCTATATACTGCTAAACTAAGCTTCCTAAAGGAAGGAGAAATAAGAGTTTTTCCCAGACAAGCAAATGCTATGGGAATCTGTCACCACCAAACCTATCCTATAAGAAATGCTTAAAGGACCTCTAAACACAGGCACAAACAGATGATATCTGCTACTATAAAAGCATATGTTAGTAAAAAGCTCAAAGATCCTATAAAGCAATTATATCCTTGAGACTACAAAACAATTAACTAACAGTACTAACACAGGAACAAAACTTCACATATCAATATTAACCTTGAATGTAAATTGCCTAAATGCTCTACTGAAAAGACACAGACTGGCACACTGAATACAAAAATACCATCTGTTAGGCCGGGCGTGGTGGCTCACACCTGAAATCCCAGCACTTTAGGCCAAGGCAGGAGGATCACCTGAGGTCATAAATTTGAGACCAGCCTGGCCAAAAAGGTGAAACCCCGTCTCTACTAAAAATACAAAAATTAGCTGGGCATGGTGGCGGGCGCCTGTAGTCCCAGCTACTCAGGAGGCTGAGGCAGGAGAATCATTTGAACCTGGGAGGCACAGGTTGCAGTGAGCCGAGATCGTGCCACTGCACTGTAGCCTGGGCGACAGAGTGAGACTTGGTCTCAAAAACTTCAACAGACTCATCTCAGGCATAATGACGACCACAAACTAAAACTAAAGGGATGGAGAAAGACCTATCATGCAAATAGAAAACAAAAAAGAGCAGGGGTTGATCTTCCTGTATCAGCTAAAACAGACTAAGCCAACAACAGTAAATAAAAAGGCGGGAATTCTATAATAAAAAGGGATTCAATTCATCAAGATTTAACTAACCTAATATATAGGGACCCAACATCAGAGGGCCCAGATTGATAAAACAATCATCCATAGAGACAGAGAGCCATACAGTAATATTGAGGGCGGATTTTTTTTTTTTTTTTTTTTTTTGAGGCAGAATCTCACTCTGTTGCCATGCTGGAGGGCAGTGACGCGATCTCAGCTCACTGGAACCTCTGTCTCCTGGGTTCAAGCGATTCTCGTGCCTCAGCCTCCCCAGTAGCTGGGATTACAGCCATGTGCCACCACATCCAAATTTTTGTATTTTTAGTAGAGATGAGGTTTCCCCATGTTGGACAGGATATTCTCAATCTTCGGACCTCGTGATCCCCCCACCTTGGGCTCCCAAAGTGCTGGGATTAAAGGTGTGAGCCACCATGCCTGGCCAATATTGGAGGATTTTAAGACCCCAGTGATAGCACAAGACAGATTATCGAGGCAGAAAAATAACAAAGAAACTCTGGACTTAAACTGGACTCTTGACCAAATAGAACTAATAGACATTTACAAAACAGTCCACTCAACAACTACAGAATATACATTTTTCTCATCTGTGCATGAACATTCTCTAAAATTGATCACACGCTTAGTCATAAAGCAAGTCTCCTTAAATTCAAAATCATATCAAACATCTTCTCAGAACAGAGTGAAATAAAATTAGAAATCAATAACAAGGGGAACTCTCAAGACCACACAAGTACATATAAACTAAATAACTTGCTCCTGAATGACTTTTGAGTAAATAATGAAATTAAGGCAGAAATGTAAAAAAAATTGAAACAAATGAAAATAGAGACACAACATACCAAAATTTATAGGGTATGTCAAAAGCAGTGTTAAAAGTTTACAGCACTACTAATTGCCTATATCAAAAAGGAAGAAAACTCTCAAATGAACAACCTAATGTTACACCTAAAAAACTAGAAAAACAAACCAGACCCAAAGCTAGCAGAGGAGTAACAAAGATCGTGGCAGAACTAAATTGAGACCAAAAAAATCATACAACAGATTAATGAAACAAAAATGAAAAACAAACAGACTAGTAGCTAAATTAAGAAAAAGAGAGGATTCAAATAAGCACAGGTGTAATCAGAAATTACAAAGGTGACATTACAACTGATACCACAGAAATACAAAAGATCCTCAGAGACTATTATGAACATGTCTATGAGCATGAACTGGAAAACACAGAGGAAATGAATAAATTCCTGGAAATATACAACTTCCCAATATTGAACCAGGAGGAAAAGAACCCTAAGCAGACTATTATTTGAGACTCTGTCTCAAATAATAAGCTATGAAACTGAATCAGTAATATTAACAGCAGAATTCTATCAAATGTATATAAAGAAAAGTTGGTACCAATCTTACTGAAACTACTCCAAGAAAAATCAATGAGGAGGGATTCCACCCTAACTCATTCTACAAAACTAGTATCATCCTGATATCAAAATCTGGCAAGGACACAATAAAAAATGAAAACTACAAGCTGTTATTCATGATGAACACAAATGTAAAAATCCTCAACAAAATATTAGCAAACTGAAACCATCAGCACATCAGAAAGATAACTCATCACGATCAAATGGGTTTTATTCCTGGGACGCAAGGATGGCTTAACATATGCAAATCAATACATGTAATTCACCACATACACAGAATTAAAACAAAAATTATATGTTCATCTCAATAGATGCAAAAAAAAAAATTCAATAAAACTTGACATAACTTGATGTTAAAAACAATCCCCTGAGAACAAACTAGGCATTGAAGAAACATACCTCAAAATAATAAGGGTCCTACATGCAAACCCACAGCCAACACCATACTCAATGTGCAAAAGTTGAAAGCATTTCCCCTAAAAACTGGAACAAGACAGGGATATCCACTCTTACCACTCCTGTTTAACATAGTACTGGCAGTCCTAGCCAGAGCAATCAGGCAAGATTGCTGGAATACTATGCAGCCGTAAGAGTGAAATCATATCCTTGGCAGCAGCATGGATACAGCTGGAGGCCAGTATCGTAACTGAAATAACTCAGAGGCAGAAAATCAAATACTGCATGCTCTTACTTATAAGTGGGAGCTAATCAATAGGTATACATGGACATAATGAGGGAAATAATAGACAACAGGGATTCCAAAAGGGGGAAGACAGGAGGGGAATGGCGGTTGAAAAAGTACCCATTATTATGTTAATATCTTAGGTGATGGGATAAATAGAAGCCCAAATCCCAGCATTACACAATATAACCACGTAACAAACCTGCATGTGTACTACCTGAATGTACAACCCCTGATCCACCCTCCAAAAAAAGAGGAATGCCAACCATCCTGAATGAGAATTTAATTATAATACTTATAGGCAAGGATAGAAAAATGACACTTTCCTCTGGGTTTCTTTTGGCCACAGAATAATAATGAAATTAGACTAAATGAATTTCATTAGAATTTCAATACCTTTTAATGTGGTTGAATATATGTTTGTAACTTTTTATTTAAGTCTTATAATTTTCATATATAATATTTAGAAAATTCAAAAAATATTAAGAATCTAAAAATTATTTCAAGCAGATCAATGGCAGTGTCCTGCAATCGTGTCTGAAAAAGCTGAGCCTGTAAGTTAAAAGCATATTATTTTAAAGTATGCAGGCCAGGCCAGTGGCTCATGCCTGTAATCCCAGCACTTTTGGAGGTCAAGGCAGGAAGATTACTTGAGGCCAGGAGTTCAAGACCAGCCTGGCCAACATGGTGAAACCCCATCTCTACTAAAAATACACAAATTAGCTGGATGTGTTGGCGTATGCTTGTTATTCCAGCTAGCTACTCAAGTGGCTGCAGCACAAGAATCATTTGAACCCAGGACGCAGAGGCTGCAGTCAGCCAAGATTGTGCCACTACACTCCAGCCTAGGCGACAGAGCAAGACTCTGTCTCAAAAAAAAAAAAAAAAAAAAAAGCAAAATTAAATTAAATCAAATCAAATCAAATAAGTAAATAAAGTATGTAAAAACATACTCTGGTCTGTTGAACTAAGCTAGAGTAACCTCTCATGCTGTTCACTCTACCTTAAATTTCCTTTCTGCTCATCTGTCTCTCAAAGCTTACCCCTTCACCTAGGCACCAGTACAAAACAATGGCTATAGTACCCTTCCCTGCACATGCCAAGACTATTTGATAATATGTGCATAAATATATGAATGACTTAGTAAATAGCCAAAAGACCTTAGTGATAACTGATTCATTCTTCTAGGTTACATGAATTTACCTTAAAAATCATTCCTACTAATAGTTCAAAATCTGGTGTAACTTTTCATACTTGCTATAATAAATCTTTAAACCCACTTAAACAATAAAACTAAACTAAAGATTTAAAACATTGAGATTAAATTACTAATCTGGGACAGATCACACCCAAAATGATTGGTCACTAAAATAATTAGAGTATCATTTTCTAGTTACTTGTCTTCAACTGCAGTGGCTCCAATTAAATTCATATTTGTCTCAATATCATCGAAAACTTTTTCCATTTTTTCTTCTCTGTCTTGTAAGGCCATTTTTGCTTCTATGAGCTGTCTGTTAATTCTTTCATAATCATCTGGAGCAATTTCTTTGAAGGCTACACAGAGTGTCCGATACCCATCCTAGGAGTAAAGTAGGAGATCTGTAGTTATTTTCATAATAATTGAAAAAAAAACCCATACTCTGTAAATGCTCTTGCTTCAGCTATATGTACAAAAGAGAAATTCTGACACATATTTAGTTTGCAAAAGTGAACAAATTACAACTGAAAAGGTCACATTCAATTAGGTTCAGAAAAAGGAAATAACAGTTCTTTTAACAAAGGTTGCTGAAAAGTCTTTAAGGCTGTAAATTCTGACCAGAAACTTGCTCTGGAATAACGTTTTATATTAAGATAAAGAAAGTAATATTATTGAATCCCCAAATACAAAACACAGACCACAAAAACATGCTAAAATGTATTTAAGCTGTCATTTAAACAGAAATCCAATAAACATAGTCATCTTCTGAATTTCTCTGCTTACTTATTGGTGGGGGAAGGAAGATAGGCTCACCATTGCATTACGTTCCACGTGGACTTTAGTTAACTCAATTTCATGATTCTGCACCCTGGGAAAAACTGCCGAGTCTGCTCCTTTACAAAAGAGAAGTATGTCTCCTAAAATAAAGAACCATAGTACTTGACATAGAGTTTTAAGGCCGGTATTGTGGTTTCAATAAGAGATAACTTTTAAAGTGGTCTCTCTCACCCAAGTGTTATATATTCTGAGCATGCTTTGCAATACTCGCCCAAATGAAATGAGAAATCTTGGTCTTTAGTCTGTCAGAAAGGCATGCACCACCCCTACAGGTCATTATGAACACAATTAATAAGCCAGAGTTTACAATATGCACCTCTCTGTTAAAATATACTTCCTCCCACCAATTCATGGAAGTCTGGGCTTGTGTCAAGGAGGTGCATCTGAATTCCTTCTGAAAATGTATGCTAGGTGCAGTGGCTCACACCTGTAATCCCAGCACTGTGGGAGGCTGAAACAGGAGGATCACTTAAGCTTAGTTCAAGACCAGCCTGGGCAACACAGGGAGACCCTATCTCTACTAAAAATACAAAAAAAAAAAAAAATAGCTGGGCATGGCGGCACGTGCCTGTAGTCCCAACTACTCGGGAGGCTAAGGCAGGAGAATAGCTTGAACTCGGGAGGCAGAGGTTGTGATGAACCAAGATCATGCTACTGCACTCTAGCCTGGGCAACAGAGCAAGACTCCGTCTCAAAAAAAAATTTAAAAATTAAAAAAATTAAAATTAAAAAATTAGCCAGGCATGGTGATACACGCCTATAATCCCAATGACTCTGGATGCTGAGGTGGAAGGATTGCTTGAGCCCAGGATGTCAAGGCTGCAGTGAGCTATGATCTTGTCACTACAGCCTGGATGACAGAGTAATACCTTCTTCTCTCGGGTAAAAAACAAACAAACAAAAAAAAACAAAACAAAAAACAAAAAAACCCAGAAACAAAGAAATGCAGTGAAGCCATGGCCTAGAGTATACACATGGCATCTACAGATGTCAAGAAGAAAACTTAAGCTCAAACAAGCTGAAATAATTTTGAATAAACTATATTAACTAGCTTTTAAAACATTGGCTTGATGGTTTTTACTGAAACTTGAAAATAGCTTTATAGAATGCTAGTATAAGTGCAGCTTTAGATCACTTCACACATCTAGGAAATATTCACAGTTGTGCACTAAGAGAGACACTTTATTCTTGTAAGGGAAACAACCGAGTTCAACAAAAAGTGTAGCTCTGAGGTCAACGACCTTTGTAGACAAGTTCCGCAGACACTTCACCATTTGCTGTAGAACACGTGGATGTGCAGACATAAGAATAGCAAGTATTTGAAATATTGGTTTTTTTTTTTTTTTCATTTATTCTTATACATCCAAAGTGTACTTTAAAGTTCACAAAACAAACTCCATGGTCACTTACATAAAATCAATGTCATGACTTTGCAATCATACCACAAAGTATGAATAAAGTGGGATATGTTCCCCCCCAAGGATCTGTCTATATCCTCCCATTCTCACATTAAGGAATTTAGAAAATTTAATAGTAAAAAGTAAATTATTGGGAAATAAATCAAGAATTTTTAGAAAACAAACCCCTTGGTACACCATACACACATGTATCTGAGAGCCTTTGAATAAAGCAGAAGTGCTCCCCTATGGGTCTTGCAGAATCTGAGCAGAAGGTGAACCACCATGTTGTCTCCAAAGACATGAGGGAGCCTAGGATTATGGTACCAGTTCCCCTGCAAAGGGCAAGCTTTACTCTTGTTAAACAAAGAACCTGAGCTCTGGAGTAAAACTGCAATGCCATTTCCCAGAAGCCAGGCCCTTACTCCTCTCTACCTCACCTGTTTCCAGGGAATGTCAAGCAGTAGGGGAACCAGGAAGGTCAGTGAGGGATAATAAGCAACTCCCTATACTCAAGGATTCTGCTACTAGTAATCCCAGACCATCCAACCATGCTGGGTGGCTGCGTGTAAACTTCACTGGTAGACTGGTCAGTACCATGAACCACACACAAGTCATCCTTTCAGTTCCTGTTTGAATACCCAGGGCAGAGGGGTATTGTTCAGCTAACAAGAAAATGCACTTCCTGTCATAACAAGGGTTCTATCGCTAACGATTTTGTAAACTGAACATGTTCGCTTAAAAAAAATACATGAAGGCATATACAAAAAAATACTGCTTCGCCTGACTTTCACTAATCCTATGCTACTACATGAGATGATTCTCTTTCTTGAAAGAGTGAATCAACCAGTAAGCCTACAAATGAACAAAGAGAAAAATTCAAGTTTTTAAAATATGTACCTTCTTGAGTCTTCACAATTACACTCATACGTCGGCGGACAGCATCAAAGTTTAAAGTGTGAAGAAGTTCATATCTTTAAGAGAAATGAGAAAAGTAAAAATCCTAGCACATACTGAGAAAAATAAAGCACAACAGAAATATGTTAAGATATTTAAACATCTTAAATCAACAGATAGCTATCCCCTTTGCAGGAGGGTCACTGGTTGTCTACACAACTGGTACTTTCCTTTGCCTTAGAATTTCTCTGAACATAAAACATGCTGTCAGAGGACACCAGTGTTGGTTAAGTGGTATTTATAGTCCCTCACTATACTATTTAAAATGGTAAGAAGAATGACCACATAAAATGGAGGATAAAGAGCTGTCCTACCAAGCCATATTTGGAGGGGTCTAGAAATAGTCCCACTCTGCCAATTATTTTAGTAGCATTTATGTATGGAGTGCCAGGCACAGTGCTAGGTGCTGGGGAATAAAGGTGGCTCAGATTCACCTCTATTCCCCAGCACCTAGCACTGTGCCTGGCACTCCATATATAAATGCTGCTATAATAATTATCTCATTATGCTCTGTCTCCCTTATCATAAGGTGACTTGTGTAAGCCCCTTCCCTTACACAGGTCACCATATAAGGGAGACAGAGCATAATGAGATAGCTACCCTTCTAGTCTCTCAAATACTGTAATGAAGGCACTTATAGGAAAGATATAAGAACGCAGAAAGAAGCCATCTGAAAGTAGGCTTCCTGGAAGAGGACATGCCTGAGCTGGGTTCCACAAGGGTAATATGAGGAAGAAAGGGGGCCATGGCATTCTGGGTAGACGGAATGAGCAAAGCAACATGAGAGCACACGGCCCATGGGGGACTTGAAGTAGTTCACCAATGCCAAAAAAACTCACTGATAGGGGAATAGGAAGAGATAAAGAAAGAAAGGTAAGCAGAGGCTGGAAACACAAAAGCCATTTCAGGAATTTGGGACTGTATTATAAGAGCAAAAGAAAGCCAATGAAAGGGTTTAAACAATGGAATGACATCATGAAATTGTTCAAATGTGTTTGTGGATGGCTGAACTAATCAATGGAGAGATACAGGAGAGTTTAAATAAGAGTTGGTTATTAGAAAAAGTGAGAGGAAATATTTCCTTGAAAATAAATTAGTATTTTAAAAAGTATTTATTATATATGTTGTTTTTCGTGGGAGTGAGGGGGTCATTAGTCTTGGGGGAGTATATATGCGTAAGACATCTACAATGGCATCTGGTTTGCTGTTGGCCAGATGAGGGCACTGTTGCAGACAGACTAGAATCTAAACTCTGACAATGACCCTGGGTCCCTGTCAGTCAGACTAAGAACCTTCCTCTGGGCTTCTATGCATCTCTCTCCAAAGGGGCGCATTACCCAAGCACATATAAATGTATTACAGGTTTCTGAGATGGGTCTCAGGAGATCCTAGGGGCCAGAATGAAAGTCAGAGAAGAAATTCAAATTAATCACATAGCCTAATTAAAATCCACCATTAAGATAAGGTGGGTTTGTTCACCGGGGTCTTTGTGGCAAAAGAGGAAATGTGAAGGCACTGGGACATCAGAGTACTTGCCCTGAGACTCACACCTGAACATCCCCAACAAGACAAAACTTCTGGTTTACGGCAAAGTTGCCTTTATTGGCTGGGCTTGCAATCCCAGAGTGATTGCTTAGATACTAGACAGCAGAATGTTTCACATATTTTCACTGATTTTTCTTGTAGCATATGTTAGAAACCTGAAATGGCATCTAATTTCAGAAACAGTCCAGGCAGACTCTCTTTCTGGCTACTGGACCCAGATGTGGACCAGATTGAAATTTCTACCTCAAATCCAAGTTTCTGCCATTCTATGTAAAATGGCTTCTACCCTAACTATATTTACATAAAACTCTGAACTGGGAGAGCAGAGTCCTGTATTTTCAGTGGCATCACTTCCTTTTCTGCCGTGCCTGAATCCATCTAAATTTCACTGTGGGGTTAAGAAATGACAAACATCAAACACAGAGCTACTTACTCTTCTATTTCTTTTCTTTGGTTCTCTACTCTCATATGTCCATTTCGATTTCCTAAAAATGTGAACCCGTACCTATCAAAAACAATAAAAAATACCTTGTGTATCTCTAAAGAATGATTTTTTTTTTTTTTTTTTGCGACAGAGTCTCGCTTTGTCACCCAGGTTGGAGTACAATGACAAGATCATGGGTCACTGCAACCTCCGCCTCCCAGGTTCAAGTGATTCTCCTGCCTCAGTCTCTTGAGTAGCTGAGATTATGGCTGCATGCCACCACACCAGGCTGATTTTTATATTTCTAGCAGAGACACGGTTTCACCATGTTGGCCAACCTGGTCTCAAACTCCTGACCTCAGGTGGTCCACCCACTTTGGCCTCCCAAAGTGCTGGGATTATAGGCATGAGCCACTGCGCTTGGCATAGAATGATTAATTTTCAATGGGGTTAGTCATTCTTGTTTATGCTTCTCTTCTCTTTCATATGATCTCAACATATAACTGTACTTCCTTTTACTGGATGACATGATAACAGAGAAAGTCAGTGCCCAGCCACAATTACTGTAACCAAGGGAGAGACCATTTGGGTTTCTGATTCTGCAGCTAACACACTGGGTGACCTTTTAGCCACTTAATTATCTTAAACCTCATGAGTAAAACTAGACTTTCAGTTCTCAAATGATGTCAAAATTGCTGGGAGTACCTCAGAAACAGCATGTGTTGTACAAAAAGTAGCCACTGTTACGTTATTTGCAAAATATAATATGAAGATTCAGACTTCTGGCTGGCATGCATAAATAGTAAGGCAAGTAATACCTACATGTCACTATTTTCTTCTTGGTCTAACTAGTCAGGGGTGGGAATTTTCCAAAAACTTTTGGCTAAAGCAGTTATGTTTTTTTATTAAATAGTAGGAGATGTACATGCTAAGGTGACTGAAGCAAACAGAAAAAACAAAATAACTTCTGTCCTCCTGTGATTTCACTTTCTTCGGAGAGGTATAAGAAAGTATACTTTACTTTTTAGCTCCTTTCACCAAAGCTATTTCATCTGGTGAAGAGGCGATATAGGTTAATTCAGCTGATTCTGTTGCTCCATCAACAGCATCATTTGTTTTGATTTCTACAGTATGACATAAACACAAGGCACGTAGAAACAGCTCTTCTCGATTCTGTGGAATAGTAACAAAATCATGATTATTATTTTTAATTTGATCACTCAGTAACTAGACAGTGAACAGAGAAAATATAGTAATGAGACAGAATGTTATAACCTCTAGCAAACTTAGTAGTAGATATGTATAAATTCCTAACACTCAAATCAGCTATATATTCTCCTAGTACGTAACAAAGTTCCCGGTTCTCAGCTAGCATGCCCTTCTATAGGCTGTGTTAACTCATTCAGGTTATTGTAGCATCACCTAAGCCAAAGCAATGACTTCTTCATGGTCTAAAAGACTTCATTCAGTATCTAATTCACAATCTAGCAATAGCTCAAGTTCAGGGAGACTCTGGTTAATTTACCGCCTAGACACTCCTGAGACCTTAATCATTTGAACAGACATCATTCTTGAAAGAGCTTTAAAAGACAAAGAACAAAAAATTATGATCATATGGACAGGCAAGCTTTTACCCAAATGTCATTTCCCACAATTCTCTTTACCTATAAATTCTACTCGTTTACAAATTTCTGAAATGTCAGTAAAACAAGAAAGGTGAAGCCAACAATAGTTATTCTAAATTCGCTGGGTGCAGCAGCTCACACCTGTAATCCCAGCACTTCACAAGGCTGAGGTGGGTCGATTACCTGAGGTCAGGAGTTCGACACCAGCCTGACCAACATAGTGAAACCCCATCTCTACCAAAAATACAAAAAAATTAGCTGGGCATGGTGGTAGGCGCCTGTAATCTCAGCTACTTGGGAGGCTAAGGCAGGAGAACTGCTTGAACCCAGGAGGCAGAGGTTGTGGTGAGCCGAGATCAAGCCACTGCACTCTAGCCTGGGCAAAAGAGCAAGACTCTGTCTCAAAAAAACCAAACAAACCAAAATACCCACAAAAGTCTATGTCATGTGCCTACGAAAAAATTTTCTACTATGGAATGTTAACATGCATACATAGTTTGATTTCTTATATAAAATAATAATGCAAATGCACCTTATCTGCTTTGTCAAAATACGTTAAAGGTCCATCAGTTTGAGATAATCCATCAACCTCTTGAGTTACACCTTTATATTTGTGTCCATCTATGCAACATTCAATGAACTCCATGCTGTTTTCAGTAAGTGTTCCAGTCTTATCTGTAAATACATAATCCACCTAAAACAAGCACACAAACATATACATTGTTGGTTTCTTCAGTGTGACTAGTTTGCTGTAACGCAAAGCTATCTTCATATCCATAGGAAATCACCAAGACTTCTTGTCAAATGTCAGGGAATTACAGAAACAATATTACCAAACAAATGAGGAAAAAATGAGTATTTTTAAAGACACTAAAATGGTATCACAAGTCTAAGGTAGACTTACTCAAATGTAAAAGATGAATAGAAAAAAATGTGACTGTTGGCTGGGCATGGTGGCTCACGCCTAAAATCCCAGCACTTTGGGAGGCGAGGCAGGAAGATTACTTTTACTCAGGAGTTCAGACCAGCCTGGCCAACATGGTAAAACCCCATCTCTACTAAAAATACAAAAATTAGCTGGGTGTGATGGCACACCTGTAATCCCAGCTACTTGAGAGGCTGATGCATGAGAATTGCTTGAACCCAGGAGACAAAGGTTGCAGTGAGCTAAGATTGCACCACTACACTCCAACCTGGGCGATGATAGACTGAGACTCTGTCCCACAAAAAGGAAAAACAAATAAAAAGTGACTATTTTATCAAACTTATAACCCTTCTAATGTAAGTTAACATTTTTGTTTTTTTTTTTAAAGACAGGGTCTCACTCTGTCACCCAGGCCAGAATGCAGCAGACGTTATAGCTCACTGTAACCTCGAACTTCTGGCTCAAGCAATCCTCCTGCCTCAGCCTCCTGAGTAGCTGGGACCACAGGCATGCACCACCACATCAGGCTTATTTTTTGTAATTTTTGTAAAGACAGCATCTCACTATGTTGCCCAGGCTGGTCTATTACTCCTGGGCTCAAGCCTTGGCCTCCCAAAGTGTTGGGACTATAGGCATGAGCCACCATGCCCAGCCAGTTAACCTGTTTGATGTAAAGAAGTTACATAAATCAATTTTTCAAGTGGGAAATTATACTACTTATTTCTCTCCCTCTCCCTCTCTCTCTCTCTCTCTCTCTCTCTTTGTGGGCTAGTATGTATATTATCCATTAAAAATATTTACTAATAAATTAAATGGGATGTAACAAAATAAAACAGAAACTGAGATTTTTTTCCCCTTTTTAAAGTAAAATTTTCTATAAAAATGCCGAATTGAAATCAAATGTACCGCATCATATATGTAAGAATCAATAATAATGTTAACAGTTACCTAACTAGAAGATACAGTAGGTCAACAGTGATCAAAACCATAACTGAAATTTCTTTCTATATACTATACATATTTTGAAAATACTCATTTCCAAATTTAGAAAAAACCAGAAGTCTTAATGATAGGTTAAAGTATAACACAAGTATATTTTCATAAATAATGGAAACATAAGCTAAGACATAAATTTGCCATAAGATAAATCATTTTGAGAATTTCTATTTTATCTCAGTTTTTATCTCTTCTATTTTTAACATCTGGCTTTTGGAAACCTACAATTTTATCCTCGTTTTGGCAATTTATGATTAAATAGTTAAAATTATGGGCTGACAGGAACAAGCATAAGCACAAGATGAAGGTTTTTATTACGTAAGGGAGAAAGAAATGAACTACAGCAGTAGTTGCTTTCTAATTATTTTTCAAAGCTTTTCACGGTAGCAGCACTGGCACAAATATGACATTCCAATCTTTTTTTTTTCCTGTTAAGCTAGCCAAGTTTGAACTCTCTCTTTAAATTAATCCAAGTGGTATTACTTGTATATCATTTAGATTCTTCCAGTTTAAATGAAATTCTTTGGGGCTTTTTTCTGATCAAAATTATTAACCTTCATTTTCTCCTGAAGGGTGTCCTGGGTTATTTCGCCTCCTGAACTTGGATGAGCATTAGAATCTCTTTTGTTAGTGTCAAAGATGGCAGCTTTAAAATATAAAGTACAATTTATTTGCCTATGTGAAACAGTTTGGGCAGTATGAATCTGCAAACACTGAATCTCATAGTTACATGCCTACAAATTATACCTAAGTGCAGTAATTATCAAACTGTAGAATGTATCACATGCACTTGGAGGTCCTGTTAAAACTCAGATTGCTGCTCTATTGCCAGAATTTCTGAATCAGTCAGTCTAAAGTGGGACAAGATAATTTATACTTCTAACTTATCAGGTAGTGTTGATGCTGCTGGTCCCAGGATCATATTGACAGAACTACCACCCTAATATGTGATCTATACTCAGAAAAAGAAGAGGAGGGAATCAACTGTGATTAACTATTCTAGGCCAGGTGTGGTGGCTAACGCCTGTAATCCCAGCACTTTGGGAGGCTGAAGTGGGCGGATCACCTGAGGTTCGGAATTCGTGAACAGCCTGGCCAACATGGTGAAACCTCATCTCTACTAAAAATACAAACAAAATCAGCCGGGCGTGGTGGCACTCGCCTGTAGTCCCAGTCACTGTGGAGGCTGAGCCAGGAGAATCACTTGAACCTGGCAGGTGGAGGTTGTAGTGAGCTGAGATCACGCCACTGTATTCCAGCCTGGGCGACACAGCAAGACTCCGTCTCAGAGAAAAATAAAAAAACAAACTGGCCGGGCGCGGTGGCTCAAGCCTGTAATCCTAGCACTGTGGGAGGCCGAGGCGGGTGGATCACGAGGTCAAGAGATCGAGACCATCCTGGTCAACATGGTGAAACCCCGTCTCTACTAAAAATACAAAAAATTAGCTGGGCATGGTGGCGCATGCCTGTAATCCCAGCGACTCAGGAGGCTGAGGCAGGAGAATTGCCTGAACCCAGGAGGCGGAGGCTGCAGTGAGCCGAGATCGCGCCATTGCACTCCAGCCTGGGTAACAAGAGCAGACTCTGTCTCAAAAAAAAAAAAAAAAAAAACTATTCTCATATTTAAAGGAGAGAAATAAATGAAGCGGGAGGCTGCTGCTTGACTCTCTCAAAAACAGCCTCATCTTCAAGCTTGCCAAAAAGATTCCTCTATATCGGCAGGCTCAAAGCTATCATTTGCATGATATTGTTTAATATATATTTGATAAATATATATTTGATCTGCCTTCCTGTTTCCTGACATAAAGCTCCCAAAGCCTTAGTAACTCCAGAGTGTTAAGAGTATTTTTGTATGCTAATGAAAGACAAATGGTTGGGGGCCCCTAGATAGCTTCAAGATGAGTGCAGGTCACTGGAAAGACCAAGGCATGATTATAGGGTTGAGATTTCCAGCCCCACACCTGACCTGGGGAAGGACGAAAGAGGGGCCAAAGGTTAATCCGAACAGCAATGGCCAATGATTTAGTCAATCATGTCCACATAATAAAGCTTCCATAAAACTCCCCAAAAAACTGGGTTCAAAGAGCTTCTGAATAGCTGAACACAAGGAATTTCTTGAAGGGTGGGATGCCCGGAAAGGCCCCTTCCCCCAGTAAACATGACTGTTTCCCTTAGTTCTATGACCTGCTCTAGTAAACTAATCAAATCCAAGGAGGGGGTCTAGTAACCTACTGGACCCCATTTTATAGCTGGTCAATCAGAAGCATAAGTTACAACCTGAACTAGCAACCGGCATCTGAAGTGGGGAGCAGTCTTCTGGGACTGAGCGCTCAACCTGTGAGATCTGACACAATACACTAACTCCAGGTAGGCAGTATCAAAAGTGAATTGGAAGATACCTAGCTGGTGTTTGCTGGAGAACTGCTTGCTTGATGTGTCAGGAGAAAACTTCACATAGCTTGTGTCAAGAGTGTTGTATTGAGTGGCTATGTGAGAACAGTAAAAGAAAAACAGGGGCTTATGGATAACTAACATGTCAGGGTTCTTGTAGGGTGGCACACCCAGGGAAGGTATGGAAGCTCAACACCCCTTCACTTATGCCTCATCCTACACATCTCTTTATCTGTATCCTTTGCAACACCCTTTATATGAAACTGGTGAACATAAGTGTTTTCCTGACTTTTGTCTGCTGCTCTAGCAAGCTAATCAAACCCAAAGAGGGGGTTGTGAGTGGCCCATCTTGAAGCTGGTCAGTCAGAAAAGTTATGGAGGCCCAGACTTGCGACTGGTGTCTGGGAGGCATAGGCAGTCTTAGGGATTTCCTGTGGGATCCAATGTTATCTCCAGGTAGACGGAATTGAATTAGAGGACATCCGGTTGGTGTCTACTGTTTGTTGGTGAGAAAAACTGCTCCCTCTCACATTTGGACACAGAAGTCTTCTGTGTTGTTTGGT